CTCATCACCAGCCTCTCTTCTCATGTTTCAAAGTCTGGACTGTCAACCCTGTGAGGAAATTAATCAGGTTCGACAGAAACTGATCTGATTAATGAACAACTTTCTTACGTGATTTGATTCAAAATCAAGTAAAAAAAAAAAGGAACACAGCAGCAGAGACTGTGTGGTGGCTGATCAGATGTGGGGCTGATATACTGTTGTCATGTGGACAAGTGATGACAATTGTAACTGAAGTGATGACTGCAGTGTCAAAGGCTGCCCTCATTTCATCACCTGATCTTTCAAGGTGCCTAAAGAGAAAATCTCACCTACCTGATTGACAGACTGACTGATTGAGTACCTTACTGATCACATGTCTCAAACCCCACTGGTAGAATTATAAGGTTACATTTGTTAAGGATTAGGGCATTTATTCAAAGGACAAAACCAGAAAATTTTCGGATTACAAACTAGATCATCTAAGGTGTTCTGAGGTTTAACTTTTCACTTGGTACTATTAAATTCCAAGATTTAGAAACATGACGCTTTCAGATGACGTGTTATATTTTCTAGGAGGGTTCAGCTTTAGCTGCTACCAGGAAAACACCTTTACATTACTGTCTTCTTTTTCTAATAGGCAAAGAGGTATTAAAGCATAGATAGAAAGATTAGATTTTAATCTCTAATCCCAAAGCCATTTCAGAACAGTTTAAAAATATTATTGATTTTTGGTTTAGATATAAAAAAAATAGCCCTAAAATAAACTTAATCCTTACTCTAAAACCAGAACTAAATGAATAAAATCTTTAGAAGCAGCTCTAAACTGATGAATATATTTTATTGTATAAGAATTGCGATTTGTATTTTATTGTGACACAAAACAAGTCAGAATCCACTTCAATTTTATCCTTCATTGACTTGTGAATCATGTCTCAAAGCAAAGCCATTATCACCGGGACTTCTGTGTGCTCAAAAGCTGCTGCAGTGACCCAAACAACAGCGCATGATAAGGTAGCACGGTTAGGCCTCTTATCAGCTTTGACTCTGGGGTTTTAAAAATCCAACTGGAATGTCAATAAACTGTTTTAAAGTAGGCGCACTGACAGAAAAATGTAGCTGTGTCACCCGTGGCTTCACCCAACTTTTATTAGCCCTGCATTTACAGTGTGGAGATAACCTTTTCTACGAGGTAAGACGTGGAATGAAAGAGCACAAGCACCGTGTGACGTTATTGTGTATCTTAAGCTTTTGATGCAGTCTCAACGGAAGGTCTACCATGTTGGAAAATAGACCATTGTGTAGCCTGCTATCAATCATTTTGGCAAATCAAGCAGTTCTGAAATGTCATTTTTTGATAAAGCCAACAATGTGTTCTTTGTGCCCTAAAATCCGGCTCCTGTCATGGTGTCTGTTACCCAACAACTCACACTCATCTATGGCCCAGCCCTCTTCACTGTCTCTCCCTCACATTGTAAACAGACGTTCCGCTGCCGTTGTCCTGTGGTTCCCTCCAGATCCAGGAACCACAGACTCTACTTTAGTAAACAAAACTGTGAGGGAAAAAGGACCCTTTTTTAACTGTTTAAAATGATTTATATCTTATCTAGGTTTCATAACTGTTACAAGAACAGGGTCTATAAAATTACATCTGAGGGGCAAGGTTCACAGGTAAATAATCTTTATTGCAACCATTATTTATCACAAAAAACAGCAGTGTCTGCAAAAATGACTACAAACGGTTGAACTGCAACCACTCTTAAGTCAAGCATAAATTATTAGCTGCTACATGCGGATTTCAAAAGTAAAGGGTTTTAGAACTTCTGCCCTTTAGATGGGCACCAGGGGCTCCTACAGATTGTGGTCTACCTGTACGTGAGGTATAATGAGCAACATTGGACAACTGTCTGGCCCAAGAATACTTTGGCTTGCAATATTGATATTGAATATCCAGCCAAATAGTTGAAGTGTGACAATTTCGGAGACTGGGTCTTGGGCGTTAGTGATTGTTCTAAAAAAGCAAATGAACCTTCTGGTTACAGATAGTAGTCCTACCACTGCACTATTCTAGTCCCCAAAGTTACCATTCTAATGGTTTTCTACATAACAGTTATACATGTTCAGCACCTTAACTAGGTTGTACCAACTCCCCGATTCACAGCTTGCTCTTTTTTTTTTAATGGAATAATCTATGTTATTTCTGTAGGGATACATTGTGAACTTAAAAAAATACATTGACAGCACTTAGACAAATGCACTACAGAATGTTCAGTGTTGCAGTGTTAAAAATTTTGGTTGCCAAACTGGTTGCACTTGAAAGCACTGTTCTACGTAAAAGTGTGCTCTTAGTGGGGAAAGAAAAGTAGTGGTCAACTGTCATTTGGTTGAATATATTTATATATAAATGTCTTAACTTTAGAAACTAGCCCCATGCAGCTGCGCAACTGTCTTTCTTCACGGCTGCAAAACAAAATGTTCACAAAAACAACCCACTGTGTACAATCTATTGTCTTGGAGCATAAAGTAAATAGGCTCCAGTACCGTCTTCACATCCTGTTAGGAGTGTACTCAGACAAAAGCAGCTAAACCCTGTTTCAAAGCAAATTAGATCCTTGACAAATATAATTTGCATCCACTTTAAATGGTTTGTCCTGTCAAGTGAACCGTCGTATGGGCGGAGCCTGACACTGTCGGCATCAACTTAGATAAAAAACACAGCTTTGCTATGTATGAAAATCAACCTCATTGATGATGATTTGAACCAGACCTGTGTTGAGTCATTAACAGAGAGTCATTTAAAACAACACGGTTCACTGAACACTTAATATGTTGAGATTAGTGTTGCTTCTGCTCCCAGGGCAAATTATTTTGTAGCCACTTCTGGACTTTATAGTGTAGTTTGTAGTCCTGTAGTTTGTTTAGTATTGGCTCTTTTTTTAAAAATATTATAGTTTGAATTTTCAATTATCGTTTGTACAATTCAATTCTTGGCAAAGTTAAACCAAATCTGGAATAGCATTGTTTTTACCTTCTTTTTGCTACTCAATGTCTTTATTTTACATTGCAACCACCTGTGTGTGCTAACCTAATGTAATTTGTCCCCTTTTTTATGATTTTTATTTACTTCCTATTTCTTCTTACTTTGGGCTATTTCTTGGCTCACTTATAGTTAATGAAAACAAAACATTTGGATACATTTACCTGTTTTCTGTTACCATTTAAAGAGCTGAATATTTTTCACTCATTTTTAAAATGTCAAATATGTGCAGTAGATTTAATAAAGGGTATAACATTTACAGTTTTTGTCCTGTTTATAGTACATATTAGTACCTGTGATGAATTCTATCTCAATTAATTTAGCTGTTGCTTAATCAGTTCATCAATTTATTTAGATTAATCTCTGAAATGCTGTTTACATGCCACTAGAAATCTAGTAGATGTGAGGGTACGGTTTTGTGTGAGTTAATGATCTTAAACAGCAGCCGATCCATGTCAGATAATGCCATGTTTAATGATAACATTTGTCTTACAAAAACAGCAGAAATGACAGGTTTGTGACTCTTTGCTATTCTCTGACACAGGGTGCAGTGACGTTATGTGTTAGCTGTGCAAACAAAGCCCAAGGCCATGCACTGAGTGCTAGTTTACTAACTCATGACCACTCCTCCTCCTTCTCCTCATCTAGCTCCTTTTCCTCCAACTCTTCTCGACTTCATCACAAAGATAAAATGTCCCCAACAACAACACTCCCAGACACTTTTATTCATTAACCACTTCTGTACATGTGTAGTGGGTTTAAGGTTTACATGTCAGTTAATGACTGAATGATGTTACTGCTAATGTTATGTACAACTGAAACACTGTGCTGTATTGTACTATATGCTAACAATTAGTGATCCTCAAGTAATGTTTTTGCAAAATATTTTTGTTACGTTGAAAAATATTAGCACCAAACCTCAACTTTATTGACAGAAATAAAACAAATATATCAAAATCAAATTTGTCACAATATAAAATAGTTGAGCACCTAGTTGAAAGATCTCTTTGTTTCAAATGAATAAAGCAAATAACAACATGATATTGCAATAAAACCAAATATAATTTGCCAAAGGTTAAAACATGATGTGGTGAAGAATAGGAAAACATAGCTAAAGCTTAACTAAACTTTACTTGTATGAGGCCTAGTATGAAGTATTATGAGAAATCACCTAAAGGGAAGTTTATCTTCAGTAATAACGACTGTGCAATAGAAATAACTGAGTTAGATATATGCGGATAAACTATCACCAAGTTAATGAATCAAAAAATGGAACGTAAATCCTCTATGTACTTCTGTCAGCTAATTGTAACTCAACCATACAAATTACATTATAAAAGACAAAACCGCCACGTGATACAACTAGAGTTTAACCTAAAATGTCAAAAAGTTAGCCCAAGGTACCTTTAAAAGATATATCACGTATACAATAAAGGTTCATAATTTTCCTACCTTGTCAGGTGCCGATCTCAAAACACTTAAATAAACAAACCAACATAAGAAACTAACACAAGAACATGTTGACTGTTGCGTCTGTGTAATAAACACAAGCTGAAACCCTGACTTTTTCAACAGAGAACAGTTCTTACCTGATGTTTTATTGATGGATTTCCTTAAGCCTTAGTTTAAATAATAGGTTTCAATAACAGGCGAAACAGGTGTAACACTACCTATTTAGCTTACAGATAATGCTATAAACCTCTCAAACCCTGCGTTTACAACAACAGTTATTATTATTATATATTTTGTGGTTTATTTTAACCATCAGCCATAGTTCAATTATCTAAGTTTCGCACTTTCTTTTGTTTATTTCACCATATGTCACACCGTGGTGTTCGCATGTTGCTGCGTACAGGGTGGTTAACAGAAGTTCAATAACAACATTTTGACAATATTTACTTAGCAATAATAATACATTATTGCTAATTAATATGAATTTTACTACAGAATAGAAAATAAAAACAAAGAAGTTGTTTTTCCAGCTTACCTGTTGCACTAGGCGAAGGTGTGGCACGTTGCCCAAGGTATCAAAAATGACTGAATAACTTCAGTTGTCATTTAAGTTTGTTTTTTCTTCCGCTCTAAAACTAGAATATACGAGCGGTCAAAGAACTGTAATAAAAAAAAACTCTATGTAACTGGTTTTTAGATAGAAACAACTCCCTTCCCCCGCCTCGACTCGTTACTCCGTTGTTCCATATCTACTGTTTCAACTGTATGGGTTCGTAAGCTGACAAACTAATAGACTGTCGTTTAGGTAGACGCTGTTTCGTACAGCTATTTCCGTATACATTTTTCAAAATAAAACCCAATGCAAATAAAAACAAAGATTAAACTATTTAATTAACTATAATTGTTCATAAATAGTAATTATAACACTTTAAAATCTTAAAAAAATAAGTGCTTCCATAACATGGGTGATCGATTAAAATATCACTCAAATATGAAACTAACTTGACGTTATTTTACCCCACTTCCTGTCTACATTTGTGCAGGCACAGCGATCTTGACCACAATGAACCTGAGCTACCTCACAGTAACCATGGTAGATCATATGACTTGAATGGATTACAGTGAGCTCACTGTTCACAAAACTTTTGTCTGAGTATAAATATAGTGTATATTGTAAAAATAACAGTGTATAGTTTTATATACTGTAGGTATATATCCCTCTAAAATGTGTTTTGAGAGGATATGTTCATGCTAGCTATTGATAATATTTCAATTTATTTCAGTTCTGGCTTTACCTAACCTCTTTTGTGAGATTTTTGCCTTAACTGTTATACTAAAAATCATCTTTTACCTTACATTTTTAATCTTTTGTACCAGAGTCATCTGACTTCTGACCGTTATGCTACGTTTTAACTTTGAGCCCATTTTGGCTAATGCAGCTATCTCTTTGGTATACTTTCAGCTTCTTCTTCAGATATATATGTCTTGAATATACTAAAAGTGACTATATTACTACTTTTAATATATTTGGACCGTCGATACATGTATGGGTGATTACAGCTAATGCTAATTAACTTTTTCATCTTTAGGCCACTTTTACTCAGTTTGCCAGTTTAAAAAAAAAAGGTTTTTAACTTTTAGCTTTGCCTGCTTTTAGAAAAGAAATCCTGGTTAAACTTAAGCAAATTTCAGCTTGATTTGTGTAAGAATTTTCCAGTCTTTAAGGTAGTTCTTTTAGATAAATCTCTTAGCAAAATCTTATGAGTTCAAGGCATTTCAGACATTCCAATAATGAATATCTAATTATATTCAAGGATGTTAGGGATCAGTGTCTCAAACTAAAATAACAACAACAACAACAAAAACTATACATTTTAAATCTTTATCTTAGCTTTATATGACCTTATGTCCTGCTGATTATAAGTTTGACATGTAATAATGAATATGCCCAATCTTGGTAACTAATCAACATTAATATAAAAAAGATGTTGGCAGGAGCTGAGTTATACGTCAAAGTCATATTTGACTTTTACTGCAAGAATTGAGTAATTGTACTTCTCCTTGATTTCCTTCTCCCATCCTGTATTTTACATGGAAATCTAAAGCAGGAATACAATCACTGGCTTTTGATCTTTAGACGAACCTCCTTTAGGGACTGGATTTATTGCATTGACTCACCTTGGAGAAACAGGAATGTTGCGCGATATTGTGCAAGTCGCTTGCCCAAAGTGAAACCTGGTGATAGCAGTGTCAATCTTTGGGGCTGTTTCAGATGTAATCGGGTTTATGAACCATTTTAAGACTCATAATGTACGTTCAATGAAAAAACTATTTTTGAAGAAAAATAAAATATGGAATGACCAAGCCAAAGCTTTTCGATAAATTCATTCCGAATAATTTTTGAAAGAGATTGAAACGAGATTAAGGTAAATTAAATGATGTTTTAAAATGTATTACCTTTGTTTCATACTGTAGTTTCGCAACATAACACCTAGTCTTTTACAAGGGTATGGGTAAAAATGTAACCTTTTATGAAGTGAGCTCACTTAGTTACAAAAACCCAGGTAACAGTAAATAAGTAAGGAAATGTAAGGATTTAAAATTAAAGACTCAAGTTAATAAAATAGTAGTTGTTATTTTGTTATCAGTAAATAAGGGACACACACACACACACACACACACACATACATACATACACGCACACAACTATTCTTGTCACCTGACACCCCACTGACTTCCATTCAGCCTGACATTCTAACCAAAGTCTGACTAAAGCTTTTGTTGTTGTTGTGTTTTTACCTATTTAAACTTTGCCTGACTAGGACCTTAACCACTAAAAAAACATTTTCTACCTGTAACATGTATTTTTGTTGAAAAAACTAATCTATTTCTATTTCTAAATATTTAGGTAACTCTCAGCTTTTAAATGTCTTGCTTACTGTTGTTTTGCTTTACTTTTGCTAACTAAAAAGTAGCATTGGAACAGTTCTAAATATCTTTCATTTTACCCATCTTTTTGTCAACAATTTCCTATTCTTTTGCCTGAATTACAGTATTTTCAGGACAATAAGTCAAACCTTTTTTAATTCTTTTGTCTGGGTTTGCGACTTATACTCAGGTGTAAACCTATATATTAAAATATATAATTTCACAAGTTATTTTCACATTGACAGTCGCTAGAGGGTGCTCCAGTATCTGCTAGTGTCATGTATGTTTTTTCTCTTCTTCGTTATGCTTTTTTTTTTTTTTTTGGCTGGTGCGACTTATAGTCTGGAAAATACGGTAGTTACCTTTTTGGAACAACCTACATTTTCTATCCATAGTTTCATTTAAACATTAGCATGCATCCTTTTATCACTTTTTAATGGTTAGGGCCTAATTTTCAACTATAGCTTTTTCAACTTAAGACTATTTTTGCCATATTTTAAGACACATTTCAGATATTTTTGACTTATTTTGGTATATATTGCCATTTTACATTTAACATTTATTTAGTCTAGATTATATATATATAAATTGTATATTATACATATTGTATATATATAAATGTGCACTCCTTTTTATAGCCCAAGGAATTAGGGGTGCACCGATTGATCGGTTGGCCAATGTAATTACATCTTGTTCCGCTTGGCCTAGCCTATCTCTCTGCTCCATGTACAAGCAGGGAAAGTGAGCGCCTATTTAGCTCGGCTGGACATTTGGTGGATGAGAGAAGAAGTCGCCTGTCTGCTTAAAAGGCAGAACTTTTGTTTGTAAAGAAAGTCCTGCTATTAATGTTCAAGTGACAACAATAAGTCACTATTAATGTTCAAGTGACAACAATAAGTCTGTGCCATGCTAACTCGTATTACCTGTTTACTTTTGAAGAATTCAATAAATGTTACAATTTAGTTGTTTTTAATAAATATTTTAACATTTTAATAGCCACAAAGCTGCTGCATTTGGGCATTTTTTGTTTTTGCACCAAAAACTCAGGACACTTTATTGGTGGTTACAGTTGTTTTGTTAGATTATCCTGTAAGTGTTTGCTATTTATTCTAAGTTTATTTATAATCTTATTTTATAAACCTCAAACCTTGTTTTATTTTTTTTGTAAAAGCAAGATACTGATGTATTGTCTTCAATATAACAAGGTTTAGGTGTATGCTGTCAGTTAAACATATACATATATATATAATAATCTGTATAGGCAAAAATCTGAATTTGGTAGGTCAGGCTTCGGAAACCTTCCTGGACTGTTTCCATACCCAAAGGTTTTCAACCTTAATGGGATTCTGTCTCATTAAGACCAGGATTTGGTTCCCTCTAGGGCTCCTTGGCCTGATAAAATCAGTGGGCATTACAGAAAAAAAGTTCTAAGAAGAAGTAGCAGAAATTAGTGTTTATATGCACACGCAGAAACACAGTGACCTGTAGAGACCTCCTCCTGTTCTGCAAACAGTGTTGTCATTACACTGCAGGTGAAATGTCCCTCCCTGTCCAGGCCTTGTTGTCATTAAAGGCTAGAAAAGCAGCAACAGACATGAGCTCACTGTCATTGCAATGAGAGGTGGGGCCTAAACTGTCACCACTGCTACTGCGTCTGCTGTGGACCTGATGTTGCTGTGGAAACACACACATGCACACACACTGGTGAACACACACGTGGACGGGCTTAGAGTGACACCGTTGGGAAATTAAAGCAGCAGCTCAAAGCATCAGGGTTTTATTGGCCAATCACAACCTGATACTGGATGTGTTTACCTTGCAGGATTGTGTGTGTCGCCCTGTGTGTACGTGTCCCTGTGTGTGTAAGTACATGCATTGTCTAATTATCCTGACAATGTCAGCCTGTGTTGGAGAAATATTCACTACGCTTGTCTGCCAGTTGGTATCAAACACACCAGAGCAATCACAGGGCTTTCACTTCATTTTACAGATCTGTTCAGTCAGTTCAGTTTGACTCTGTGAGTCTAATAGAGTTTTAGGTGGATCAAAAATCTGGCCCAGGGTCCAAATCATGGCCCATACGTGGACCAAGTATGTTCTTGTTTGAAAAGGAGTAGGAAGAGGCAATAGCTTATGGAGTCCTACCCCTTCTCCACTTAGTGACTTAGTAATTCCCTCTTTTCCCACGGTGTTCACCCTTTCCCCCTATTTACATTCCAATTGCAATTAAAAAAACAAACAACATCAATACCAACAACAGTTTACCCAGTTAAAATAAAATGTGATTTACTGTGATACTGAAGGTTCTTACAGTTGTACGAGCATATTGATGTTTCAGCTTTAATTCTCCCCTCAGATTATACCCCCCGCCCCCCCGAAAAAAAAAACAACACGCTGGAATATTTACTGGTAGTAGGTTGTGTATTGCTCTGTACATGATTAGTGCCATTTGAAAACGTACCAGATCGGTAAGTTTCAGTATTTCTGATTTTGAGAATAAGGGATTTGTGTGTTATTTTAGTGAAAACCTCCAACTATATCTGTTGACTAATTTGGTTGATTTGAGAACAGACTTTGTTGACAAATAACTTTTTTATAATATATGTATTTTTCTGGGTCATTCAAATTATTTAAAATAACTTAATTTTAAAGTTTTGGCTAAATATAACAATTTCTATTTCTATTCTTCGGTCTAAATCTTAGCAGCTTTATAATTATAATTAGTTTGGAGCAGTATTTTATGTGTCAAACTTTGTTGTTTTCTTGGATGTTCATTGTTGTTGCAAATTCATAGCTTTTTTAAGGTTATTTTTGTAAATCTTTTGGTTTTCATTTAAAGCTTCAGCTTTGAAAACCTGCTCATGTTTGGCTACTAATAACAGTTAAAGATGATTTTTTATTTATTTTTTTAACAAAACTTGATCCATCATACTATATTTCTGGGATAACTTTAAGTTTTCTTGTGTGTATGTGTGTGTATATTGTTTTTCTGCCAACATTTAGGAACATTTTTGTTAAAGTATTAAAGCACCAGAGGTGGAGCCAAAAAAATCGACCAATTTTTATTACAGTAAAATGTTTCATACAAACAATGCATACACACCAGCTGTCTAATATTGCTTCAGACATAGGTTTTCTTTTCTTCTTTTGTTTTAAACAACTCTGTAACAAAATGTCGGTACAACATTTATGAAAATATAAATCTCTAAACAGGTAACAGGTCAGGCCTGACAATACAAAGAATACCATAGAAACATTCATGACCAGTAAGTCAACTAGGAGTTGCAGACATTAATAGTCATTCAAGTCACTTCACATACAATAATACCATTTACTGGCTTTCATATAGACACATTCAAATATACTCAAACTGGCATTCCAATATACTGTATTTTAACTCTTTTTTTCCACAACCTTTTAGCAAAGATAGCACAAGTTCTCTATCATATACACATCAGAACACTGAAAAAATTTGGTAACAATATAATTACAGTACAAGCCTCAAAAACAAATCAACAAATCAAACATGAACAAAAACCTTGACTTTGGCAATTACATCTATATATCTCTTTATATATATTTATTTAAATAAATTCTGGGGAAATAAATTTAGTTTTTTTTAACCTTGTTGCTGCTCAGTTTTAAATGATCCAAGGGCCATCACCTCAACTGTTCATAACTAGTAAACGTACAATAAAGTGGTATAGCCCTTTAAAAAGGAATATCAAAGTGTAAGTGTAGTTCTGTAGGTTTTTGTTTTAGTCATGCTGCCCAGTAGACAATGGGTCTCATCAGAGCACAAATTAGGCTTGTTGTTTTTTACAGACATGCTTTATTATTCACATTTGTTTTGTTTTTTTCAAAAAACTTGTGATAAAAGCACCTGCAAAGTTTAACTTCAAATGTTCTTTTAGATTGTCGGCAAGCCAGATGTTAACGGCTTTCACCCTGACACGCAGTGAGTCAGAATCTAAGGGCTAGTGTACAGTAAATATCAAAAAGATTCTAAGATTAATTTGCCAGAATACATTTTGTAAACACCTAAGTACATATTTTCTCCACTAAAAAGTCTCCGTTTTGCTCTAACTGTGTTGTTTTTAGAAGCAGAGAGATGGTGTGACATGCAACAAAGTTTTCTGACCTGACCCAAACCATGGACACTGCAGGTATGTGGCATGCGTGGTAACAGTTTAGCTACCAGGGTGCTCCTTGAGTTTATGTTAAATCTAAAGGCACAGATTTTCTTCTTTTGTAAAAAGGTGTTAGTTGTAAGAGCAGGACCACTGTACCCTAACTTAAATAAGCAATTTTGTTTTGTCTGTACTGAGATGTTTACCAAAGTAACTAAAAAATCATCATCTGTGCAACTGGTGATATTAGCCAGTCTTCAAATACTGTTTGTCCAATCCGCTAGGGCTTTTTTGAATCTCAAAACTGTGTGAAGTAGTAACAGATGGCCCAGCAGAGGGCACTAATAGTGTAGAATAACAATCAATGCAATATTTGTCATTACTGTTTTTGATTAGCAAGCAAGCTAAAACGTAACCTGGATGAAAACTTACACATCCAAGAGTCCTGCATTTTCCATACATTTAGTTGATGATTTCTGCAGGATCTGTCAAAGGTCTGTTTTCCTAATAGAGTTGCAAAGTAACAATCATTTCCTTAGTTACTTCCACAAACTTCTAAAGCAGACATGCCAACAGGGCCTAACGTGTTAGTAAACAAAATAAACAGTTTACCTTATTGTAAAAAATACAAAAAAAGGGTTTGAAAAATATTACATTTAATGGTTTTACAAATCCAAGAATATGTGGAATTTGCTTGGAAATGTTGCCAAACTTAACCAATAGCTAGAATGTTTGTGTCCATTGGTAATTACACCATTCTAGGTGGCCTTATATGAAACCTAGTACACATACTATTTTTCAGTATAATAATGGCGAAAGTTCTACAGTACAATACCTAGAATACAATTGTTTTCTTTAGTGGTGTCGCTTGTCACAGAATACTCATTGTGGCTTACTCCACATGGCACAGTGGTGTAGAAGATGCCTAACCTGAACAAAAGTTGTGTTGCTAATAGGAAGGACGCAAAACTGTGCTCATGGTTATAGAAACAAGATCGGGTGTATTTTTAGTTGAGGGGCTCCCCAGGAAACAGTAAGCATGCTAGCTTTTCTCATTAGATTTGAACAAACTTTTTCAGGTCTGTTGCCTTTGTCTCTGCGAAGGAGTCATGCTACTTTCTCCCTTTGGCAACATAACTATTAATTATCAGTCAGACTTTGTACGTGTAATTAGATGCATGTTAGTTATCTAACATAATAATCTAGCATGCCACAATATGTGTTTACATTTGGGAATGTGACAGTCCTGACATATACTTATTTAAAAATATTTCTAAAAAAAATTATCAAAACAAAACAAAACTTTTTGACTGTTTAAAAATATTTCTAAAAAAAATTATCTTAACAAAACAAAACAAAACTTTTTGACTAGTATTTGAGCCCATAGATTTTCAGTTTGCCCATCTCTGCAGTGAATTGTTTACAGCAGGCACAAACTGTGAGTAAACAGAATTTAGCAATTCAGTAGGTTAACTGTGGCTGGCAGGTACATGAACAGCCTTGTGTCTTTAAATTGGCAAATCCAGTACCTGTTTAAGACAAAGAAAGCTCACTTTAAATAATCCATACAGTATTTCATATGAATAAAGTCTAATAATTTCTCATAAACCACCGGTAAAGTGCTTGCAACTATTTTCTAGAATCTCTAAATATATTTACAGAACCAAGTTGGTTTCAGTGTTTGAAACCCTCGGTTAATCACACTATCCTCTTCTACTTTTGAACATCTGAAAGTACCTAATTAAAAACTAAAGCAAGTCACACTGTTTTTCTTTTAAGGCGTGAATGTGTATGGTGCTATGCTACACTGTATGCTTCAATAGTGGTGAATCCCTTGAAACGAACAGCACACAAATAGGCAGGAACAAATCTAAGTGTTCCAAGACATTTCTACAACTATCGTTACAAAGAGCAATTCCGTCGATCCTGCATGCTGTTGACTGGAGTTCAGTAAACTGTTCATTTAGATTTATCGTCAATGCAAGTTTTATATCACTGTATATGTGTCTGCAAATCCCCTGCATTTTCACACATCTTGTAATCTGCCCATAAAGAACATTTGTTAAATTCCAGGCACTCACTTTGATTGCATTAAGCACAACATAACATTTTTTTTTAATTATAAGAGGTTGCACAAATTGTAGCAGCCAAAAGGGATATGTACATGTTCATAGGACTTCCATTTTATACAGTACCGTCTGATGTACATACAAACATAGAAAGAATCTTTTAAGAACAATGATATGGCTTAATGTGCACAACATAAATGAAAATAGCGTAAGATGAAGTTGGCTAAGAATTCTGGAATGGCTTTGAAAATGTTTGAACAAGACATTTGAAAAATACCACTGTTCTTCAAATGCAAAAAGGACACATAATGGCAAATAATCATACTAATAATTCACAGAATTATGCTAATTTTTTTTCTTCTTTTCCAAAACACGATTTTTTTTAACAGTCTTTATTTGTAAAATTGACTAAAACTGTATCATAAATTGGAAGAAATACATAACTTGAGTGCAGCTTAAAATTGGTCGGCCCGTTAAAGTACCCAGAGGGCTGACATCTGCAGCTGAATCACCTGGCTGTAAACAAGAAACAGCTGCAACCCCAGAGATTCAAAACTTGGTCACCTGTTTCCAAAACAAATCTGTTCAACCAAACCCACCTGTTAAACCCTCCCATATTGGGTTCCTCATGAACCTGCAAGCTGGGAAAGTCCACTGGTATTGTGTTTTTCAACCATCACTGCAGCACTTCAGTCTTTTTTGTTGGCGTTGTTGATTCACCTTCACCAGAGTCTGACACGTTGATGGGACTGTCCCTAGAGAAGACCTCTGTTGATTCCCTCCAAGTACAGTCGGCAACAGTCTTAAAGGAATGATTGCCGCATTTGGGCCGCACCTTTTGCGATGCGTTGTTGACAATTTGACGGCTATTGGAAGTGGCTATCTTAATCTTTAGTGCAGCATCCACACGATCCACCACAGTGTAGGTGCCAATGCTGCCATCTTCAAAGCCAATTATGATGTTTAATGCTCGCTGAGAAACAGAAAGGAAGGTGGGAGTTTTGTAAAGCGAGCAGGTGCCAATGCTTTTACCATCAGCAAGGCGCATCACAATCAGGCTGGACACAACACCAGCCTCATCATCTTCCTCACTGTTCTGGAAACAGATGTACACTAAGTAACGTCCATCTCTTGATAGTTTCTGACGCCAGATGATACCAGCAGCGTGAACAAGTCTGAGTTTTCCACTATGAAGATCCAGGACATTAATGTTTTCATCACCCTTTGAGACAATTCCTAGTTTTCCATTGGGGGAGATCTGGAAGTCCTCGAGATTTTTAAGGAAGTTGGTTGGTAATTGAACTCGCCTGCAAATGGTCTCATCTGCCACATTCCATATGAAGACAGTCTCCGTGGATGTGATGAACACTGCACAGTCTGGACAGTCAGGAATCAGCTTGAAGTTGACAATGGTAATACCATCATCACACACAAACTTCTTGGACACACTCCCTGACCATAGACTGACAGCAAGCAGTTTGTTTTTGGAGGTTCCCACAAGAAACGTGTTTGCTGTGGTGATCAGTGCATTCTGGAGTGTGACTAAGATGTTGCAGACCTTGTGCCCAGTTGCAAGCCTCCAGACTCGAGAGGCATTTTGCTCACAGAGTGATACCACAAACTGGTCATTGTGGGTAATTAGCAGCTGCGATATTCTCTGTCCACTGATACGGAAGATATTTTCTCCAGTATTGGTTTGCCAAATATATTGACTAGATTTGTCGTCTGAAGTTACCATGAGATCTCCTGAGGACGTTAGGACGCAGTTCTCTACAATACCCTCATGCTTGAAGACTGTTTCAATAAAACCTGTGCCAAAGTTCCATTTGTGGACTGCTTCTGAACCATCCATGGTAAACACATAATCCTCTCTGCCTGACAGTAACAAGGTCTGAATCTTCTTGCCTGTTTTGTCAATATTGGACATAGCAGTGATAATATCAATATCCCAAACAGAGAGCACTCCACTGCTTGCAACAGAAAGCAATAGATTGTGATGAACAGATTTAATGAGTTTGACAATAGCCCCTGAGATCTCAATGAGGCTGGCCATGCACTGGCCACTGTCCCTCCTCCAAACAAATATTGAGGAGGTGTTCTCCATGGAGGCCACAATGCTTTGTCCATTCTTGGAGAGGACAGCAGCAATAAAACGTTCACTTCGTTTGGCTTTGAACTTCTCTACCATTTTCCACACCTTTGTGTCCAGTACTTCAATACTTCTGTCCTTGCAGATGAGAATTGAGCGCTGATCCTCTGACAACTCAATGCCAACCACTTCACTGTCATCCCCTCTACAGTCATAATCCTCCATCAGCTTTGGATTTGTGATCTCCTTTGTGTTCCACACTGACAAACTTCCTTCATTGTCAATCATTACCATTTGATTAAGGGTCTCCAGCACCAGGATAGACTTGACAAATCCTCCAGAGAACTCTGAGGTCACAGTGGCAAGCTTGTCACCATTTCCTAAATGAAAAATGGATGCAGTGTTGAGGTATTGGCCACAGAAGGCATACATCCCATCTGGGGAGCACTGGACACAAGTAACCTCATACCAGCAGTGAAATTGGTAAAGGGGCCAACCATAGAGTAAGTCAATGACATTAACATCCTTACTGGCCTCAAGCCAGGCCAGAGCATGATGGGTGGACAACGTGAAACCATTAATGAAGGCCACTCCGCCAGTGATTCCGGCATTCTTGGACCCCTTGATTTCAACTTCAGATAAAAGGCAGGACTTGTGATTATCATAGATGAGCAGCGTGTTTTTGGTTGTAGCTACAACCAGATATTTCTCATCAGTGGTTAACTTGATTCCGAGCACAACAGATCTGGCTGTGTCGATTTGTCGCAGTAGTTGTCTGCTCTCTACATCCCAGGTACTGACAGAACCATCTTCCAAGGCTACAAGGACTATGTTTGGAGCTAGAGTAGGCAAGATCTCCACAATCTGCATGTAGCTAGAGCACAGAGGAAGCCTCTCTGGACTGTAAGTGACATCCATAGAGGAGTGAAGAGGCACTATTGAACAGTACTTCGGACCATCTTTGTCACACTCCAGGAGTAAGTGTCTAAGCTTTGGGAGGGAGGTGACAACTGGCAAAAGCCGTTGCTGCAGTTCTGCAGACAGTGATGCTGGATTCGTAAGAACTTTCACCTTGATGCTACGCAATGTTGTGGCCAGAAACTTCAACTCTTTTTCCTGTGTGTAGCTGTAAGCTAGGTCAATATCAGTTAAAGCTTTGTCAAACTGGCCAATCTTAATCATTGTGTAAAGCCAACTAAAGTTCATGATGACACCAAACATGAGGTCATCAGTGCGCCCACTTCTGGTGAGGTGGTACACCAACTCTGTCATCTTTCTGTGGTTGACAAAGAAGATATCAGGCTCCAAAAGGTTACACTGAAACACCCACGGCTGCTCTGGAGTTTGCCTGTCATAGGAATACTTATCTGATGAGGCCTTTTCATGTGACTGCTGATGGTGGGGGTTTTTGTGATGTGATATGTTGAGGGAAGTAAAATGGTTGTTATCATAGGTAAAGATTTTCTTCCTGCCTCCAGACCACGCTCCTAAAAAATACTCAGCAAGGAGGCTGTGCATTTGATGAACATCCTCTTCATTGCTGAGATACAGCTTCTGGGCAATGAGATGGAGATGTCTGTTGGCCCAGATCATCAGAGTGACATTATGAACTTGACGTTCAACAAGATACCCTTCCAATTCCTCTTTGAGCTTTGCAACCAAGTCATAGGAGATTCTCAGCGGGTTTTTGAGGTATGTAGGTACTAAAACATCCCCAAGAACTATATTATCCAGGGACAGAATATCTTCTAATTCAACCTCTGTTAGTCCAGCTTTTGCCATGGTGACATACCCTAATGCTCTGAAGACAAACCGTTGGCCAAGCTTGTTCTCCACTGAATAAAACAAATGCTCAATACTTTCATGCACCGTAGAGCATAGGGACTTGTCATCAACATCTTTATGAGACCTCCACTGAACAACTTCTCTGTAGATGAGATTGACAAACATCGGCAATGTGCACTTTGCCAAGGCCTCATTGACATAAATCTGTTGACCTGATGTGACTTTCCTCCTCACACCGAGCAACTGCTGCTTCAAAGTTTGGCTGCAAATCTTTCGGTCTCTCTGTATTAGCTCCACATAATACCCTTCATCGTGGATTAAGTGCCGAAGCTTCTGCAGGATGCCATGTTTGTTAGGTAACGTTGAGACAACAATGCGTACAGTTCTTGGCAAGTGTACAGGGAGCCACCATAACTTGCGAGCATCATCTGCATCTGAGAGTTGCTCTAGGGAATCCAGCACAATCACCAAAGGTCTATGGAATGAGGATTCTCCTAAAAGGTTGATAAGGAGTTCTCTCATCTCCTGGATTTTGTTAGGCAAAAAGTGAATCAGGCAGCGGTAGTTTATTGCAATCTGTTCACATATGCACTGAAGGAGGGTGCGTAGATCTGTGGAGGACTGGGTGGAGCCAATGAAACGTACAATAACCACTGGGTCGGCTTCAGGACCCATTTCTTTCTGAAGCCAGGTGTAGGCCTGAAAAACAGCAATGAAAATGAGGAATGAATGAACCTGATTTTTATTATGAAAGGTCTTCATAAAAAAAAGAACTGCTAAATAACCTGGTAATGAAGCACTACAGTGAGACAGAGGGGTCTAATTAGCTGATGTCCTGCTGGCATAAGTCAGGGCTCATTAGTAAAGTATGAGCTGCAGCTCTCATAGCATACCTCTGCCATACGAAATCCTTATCTTTTATTAGATACAGAAAAAACTACATAGTATTCAACATAGTTAACCTTTAAATCCCCAAACATTCTTAAAAAAATTCATTCCTACAGTGAATTTAGATGTATGCAAAAAACTGCTATCCTCATAGTCTTATCATAGGAAAGACTACTGTATGGTTTGGGGCTTTATTGACATCATAAGTCTATCAGGAATTCATTTAAAAGGCAAAGCTGTGGTTTAAGAAGACATTATTTGATACTTTTATCACAAAAATAATGATTCCCCTTACTTATTTAACAAAGAATCTGAACAGGCAGATCCTTAACTTTTACATTTGTTTCCTCTGCTTAACAAAAACAGTTAAGACTGCAATATGTTAATCTATCTACAAAAGAGTTGGTAACAGGTTTGTAAAGAGTCTTGGCTGGAAGGATTCAGTGAAGGGTTAATGTGGCCCCCAACATTTATAAAACCTTTTTGAATCATTGCACATTATAGAGATGTCTCCCAAATATAGTATTTTGTTGAATCTGAGCTATTTAAGTTAAGGCCAGTATTTTGCTTTTATAACCTTCTACAATTCTCTGAGTTACTCTGACATTATCTTTTGATGAACTGTAGGTGTAAAATGTAAAATGTTCAGTTATGTTTTGTATAGCTATTTGAGTTTTTTTTTTTTTTTTTTACAGCTTCTTCTACCAGAAATTATGTGCCATGAAAATCAGCAGAATAGTAAAATGTTACTCTGCAAATGCAGTGGTTGTTCATGAAGTAGTCTTATTCCCTTTTTTGCAGCCAGCCATAAATGAAAGACTGCTCAACTTTAATTAACTTGACTTTTAAACAGTAAATGTCAACCATTACCAGGGGCCTGAAATTCAGCAGAGTCTCTTAAGACCTTAAGATCCTCTAACTGTGCCAAAGTATATATTGCACCATTACCCCAGGTCTGGCAAACAGGCAAAATAAAACTAGATATTTAAGTAAGCCAGCCATGAAGCACAATTAATATAATACACATTTAAGAGAAACTAACCAATCTATAATTCAAATATCTAAAAATTTGAATAAAATGTTGCTTAAAACATAAAATAAGGTTGGCCAAATTCTGCTAAAAGGTAATTTATAGTTATCCTAGAAATAGACGTTAAAGATTTAAAGTAAAATTGAGAACAAATAACAAAAAGTAAAACCAAGAAAAAAAAAAATCTAAATTAGACAGAACCCTTCCTCTGTGCTAATCTAGTTCAGTTTTTATTCATAACCCCACTTACTCTGCTGCTGGTCTTTTTACTAATAGTTTTATTTTTTTACAATGAACAATATGAATGGTGGCTCTAATAAATTAGTGTATTTAAGTAACAGTTGGTGGATATGTGGGCGTCTGCAGAGTGATCCTGGCAATGGTGATGTATCAAAGTAGGTGGATTCAGCCAGATGGTCCTCAGAAGGACAGAGCGAGAACCACGAATGTGATACATGTATACTAACATTAATCTGCACACATTAAAAGCACACAAAGTCAAGCTTGTATGCACTAAAGACCATTAAAAGCACACAAAGTCAAGCTTGTGTGCACTAAAGACCCTTACACCAAAATTTGACAAAGTTGCTGTATCTCACCTGTTTTGCCACCTCGGACAGCAGCAGCGTCTTCCCTGTACAAGGTCCACCATACACCACCATGGGATTAATTCTACTTCCCTTGGATGGCATCAGATACTCTTGCACATAATCCAACGTCTCACCTTTGTACTCGTACAGTGCAGCATAGGTTTTACAGAGGGACAGGTGCTGCAGGATCTCATTGTAAAGAGGGTCCATCTCCGTGTCAAAGTTCTGTTGCACTGTGGCCTGGATGATGTCCACCATATCCTCGTAGAACTGCTTACACAGACCTTCCACATAGTGGCTCTCCACCTCCTGGGAGTAGCCGAGCTTCATGTCGCAGTGTGTGACAGAAGAGTATACGCGGAGATTGGAGGCAGCGACAATCGTCGGGATGAACTCATCCCTGACCTTCAGGAGGCGTTCGTAGGCTTCTTGGTTGCGCATGACCCGATCACTGCTCACCACGGTGTCCATGTAGCGAGCCATCTCTGGGAGTTTGGCGAATCGATCGAAGTTGGAAATCTTCCGAATGTAGCAGACACATTTCCTGAGAAAGGCAGGTGTTTGTTTGCCGAGGGCAAAGTCTAGTTCATCTTCTAAGGCTGAAATTAAAGCAACAGAGAACGAGTCATTAATTAGATGTACAAAGTTTGGGGTAGATTAGTTAGATTGAATGTATTCCATTTGGTAAAATATCACTGTTTTTAAAAGAAGTTGATTAAAAGGTTGTTATTTTTATCTATATTTTTATTATTAGTTATTAGTATAGTATTTTCCCGGATGTGGGATAAATTAAGATTTAAAAATGTTGATATGTAACTTTGAACACATTTTCACACTTTGTTGCACAGTTAAATGTATTTTCAAGGAAAATGTAAGGGTATCTTTTGAAAATATGTGCAGTTTTGTCATTTGACTCACATTTCAAAACATTAAATATTCAGCAGTTAATTTACATTTATTAGTGGCATGGCTGAAATCATTATCCTTTTTTCTTCTCAAGGTCAATAATTGTTTTTTATTTGGTCATGGTTTTATGGCGTATTTAATGATGCATTTGCTAAAAACTATGGCAAGATATTAAATATAGCATATATATTTATTCATAGTTTAATTATAATCTTCATTTATCCAAGCATGTTCTATTTTGACTTTAAAAATGGGAGACACCACCATTGTCATGTAAAGCCTGTGAGATTTGAAAAAATGCAGGACATCTATTTCTTTTAACAGCAAAGTGGAACAGATTTTAGCAGCTTTCAGCCTCCGTTTAGATGATTTCTCTTGAGTCTTACTTAAAAAAAAAAATTGATAAAAATCTCATAAGCTGGCAATGCTTAACTAAATCACAGGCTCAGTCTGTCTTACAAAGAGCTGTTGGGCTGAAACTCTGCCAATATGTACTTTTCTAAGACAGCTAATTAGACAAGACAGCAAAAAAAGGAAACAAGATGATGGCAATTTCAAAGAAAGGAACAACTTTTTTTTTCAGCCAATGTAAAAATGCAGCCTCTCAGACACAACAGAGAAGCATTCTTTGAATGTGTAAGAAAAATTACTGCCCAAAAAGGCAGCCAAAGCTGTAACCCAGGTCTCATGATATATATATATATATAAAACCCTTCTATTTAATTATAGTAGACTGTCTTTTGACACTAGGAATACTGCAGTAATCCATCAAAGAGAGGGAGCGGAGTTTCATCTTGTCAAAAACAAGAGCCCTGACATTCGATGTGAAAAAACCCAAGAGAGAAAGAAAATGAAAAGATGACCTGGGACTGACCAGAGCAAAGAAATTTCTTGGCCTGAGCGCTCTTCATGGTCCCCTTCTCCTGAAGCTGCAGCACTGCTGTACGGATGATCTTTTTGATCTCCTCTGACACGTTCCTCCAGGCCTTGTCATTCTTGGTCTTGGCTGTGCTGCTTGACTCCATCTGAGCAGGACAGGGGACAAAGGAGAGGGACATGCTGTGAATCGACTTTCCTTTCATTGAGATGGAATGTTGTCAGTCTTGTTTCTGAAAGAACTGTGCAGACAAACAGTCAGAAGAGATCTTGTTTCTGTATCTAATATCAGACACCGACATCTAGTATTTGTTATCAGAGAATAATACAGGTGATTTGGTGATAATACAGGTGATTTGGGATTGTCCATTGTAAGGTGATCATTGGCATAATCTTAATGTGGTTGACTCTTCAGCTTTACACCCTGCAGAGTCAAAGAGCAGTGACTGAATACTGAGCAGGAAACCTGCAGGAATCGTTCTAAACAGGTGACCTGGAGGTCTCACTTACTTCTTATTGTATAAAAAGGAAAGTAGAGCTTAAGAAAATTTGATAGCCAAGTAACAGTCTTGGAGGTTTCTCTTTATACAGGTTAACTAGTAACAGATTTTGGTATAAAGACTGGGTTGCAGGAGAATCACCTTATAATTATAAACATGTTAAGAACCAGTTAAAATATTATCACAATGTGTAGAGAGGAATTGTTGTGGACAATATTAGGAACGAGCATGGTTTCTGAGCCAAGGTTGAGGCTTAACCACGATTGTGTAAAAATACATAAGGATATCAGCGTTGAAATGTAACAGGATTAATTGGAATAACACTTTTTGAGGTCAGTGTTATGTGCAGAAATGCAAACACTGCAAACAATAAACAATAATGTAACCTGGAGATGAGAACGAGATGATGGTAACTGCTGACTACTGAACTCTTTTATATGACACATTTTAGTTTTTAGATCAGAATGTATTTAACAAATACAGCTAAGTTGGAATAACTGATAAGTCTTTTTGCCTGATGAATTGAGATTTAAGGAAAAGTCATATTTAGAAAGGTAAATACAACAGTTCTTATTATCTACATAAAGTACCTGTCGAGATAAGATGATGCAAAGTAAAAGCTAAAGAGCTCTGTTAAAATATAAATGTCCTCACAGATTTGTTGTTCAAATTACTGTTCTCTTATTTGGATAAGGCCTCAGATTGTTGTCGGAGCCAATCCAGAGCTCGCTCTGCCTCTCTGTAGGAGAACATAAAAAGGCTCCAAAGGAGAACATTCAGCTTCAGGACCAGAATCCATTATCAGCACTGTTAAATCCTTCAGTAAGTAAAGGTAAGATGTCCACGTGGGAAAAATAACACATCATAAAAATCCATAACCAATGCAAAGTCTCCCTTCTCTGTCGTAACCTCATTCAAAATTGTCTCTTTTTACTGCAGCCTTGTGGGACTCACAGAGTTCTGGTAGTTCTTCAGCATTTGGGCTTTAGGTTTGAGGTAGTATGCGGGTGGCACAGAGTTTTCATCCCTGCAGTACCACTCTTCCAAGATGTGTGTGTCCAGCCCGGCCTCCACCGACGCGTCCAAGATCATCTCAAACTCAGCAGATTCCACCTCCCCTGGAACTCGAATGCTGCCGTACTTTTCTCCCACCAGACCCTGAAAACAGATAAGGACGATGGCAACAAAGATATCAGAAAAAGGGCAAACAAGGTGAGAGAGAAAAAAAAAAAAAAAGACTGTCAACTTTTAGAGGCATGATCCTCGCGAGTGGTTTATGGCTTTATTTTTTGACTCAGTGGTCCAGGGTGAATGGTGGAGTCAATGATGCTCATAGTGAATTTCACTAAAGGTAATTACAGAGCAGCAGGCAGAACATTGGTGCAGTAACTGTCGGCTGTAACATCATATGGATGTAAATACTACACTTATTATTTCAGTAATCGTAGCTTTGAATGTAGCGGAAAAAGAAGAGCCCCAAAGAATGATACTACCACCACTCATTGGTTTTACTCCACTGAATGGAGGTTAAGTTGGGGCTGGATGTTTCCGTTAGCTATAGCTTGAGGATAATATAGAACATGTTATGTGACATATTTTGCCAGGTTACTTATTGTGTTTCCATCATTGTTGGAAAATGTTAAGGTTTTTGTCAAGTTTGTTTTTGCTCTGATGGTTCAGCCAAGGCTTCTTCGTTGAGCCGTTGTATGCTTGGCATCACAGGACATGGGAGGGAAGTTAACAGTAAGCCCAAAAACACACCTCACAGCAGGGCTAGAAATACAGTGCAGGGTTTGAATGTCTGCTATCCTAGCTAAGGAGAAATTACAACCAAGAGCAATTTCTTCAAATTGTAGAAAAAAAAAGATTGTTAGAAATTGTAGAGAAAATGATTAATGAGAGAGAGAGAGAGAGAGAGGGAGAGAGAGTAAAAAAGTAAAAACCATGTGACATGACCAGCTGATCTCTCCTCCATGTGCTGTAATTCCCATGCAGCTAAAGCCTCGGGGATAAAGCCACAGAGCGAGAAAAAGAACAAACTGACTGAGAGTGAGCTCCGATGAGCAGGAAAAACTATAGGTTTGTACGCTCGCGGCAATGACGCTTCAAAGCCACTTCAAGTGGACTCCTTGTTCCCTTGGCAATGACAGGGGGAACAGATGCAAGAGAACAAGTGATATGCAATGATGACATGTGGCGTAGTCTGAAGAAGGAACACTGTCCAAACCCACAAATGCCACTGCTGGTGTTACTAACATAATGGTAATGCATTAAGAATCTGGGACTAAATAACTCTCATTATAAAGCATATTTTTCAGGGAGAAAATTGTTCTCTTTGGACGGCAGCAGCCAGTGTGATGAATAGTTGTCAAATGAGTGGCTGAATTTGGATTCCTCCTGTCTCCTACTGAGAGCCAACTAAAGATACAGGAGTACATTTTACATTGATTACTACCTTTCAGGCCTTTTTGGCTCTTAATGATAAATAGCATCTGGTGTCACAGATGATGTAGGCCAACCTTAAAGAGAATATTCTCTTTTCTGGTCTAATGGAAAGCTGAAAAGGTAGTGAACCAAATCTACACCAACTTTCAACCAAAACAGGCAATTCAATGGCTTGAAAACCTATATCATGCTTTTTCAATATTTGATCCTTTTTGCCCACCACGTGATCTGTATCTGGTGATCTGTTAGCTAGATCCTTTTTGCCCACCACGTGATCTGTTGTTAGCTGGTATCTCCATATTGTTGCATAGTGTCGGCCACAGCACACACCAAATCGCTCAGAGCAGAACTTGACCAGCACTAACCAAGCCAGCCGGCTCTAACAAATGGAACAGAACACACTGCGCATGTGTGCTACAACATGGTGCGTTCAAGAACGGTCGGAGAAAGTAGAACACATATATGTCACAATAACAAATAAACACAGAGCATTGCCAATGATAAACAAGCCTCTAGTCACTAGACGGCAGCATTGTAGCTTATTTTATTAATCTATATTGATAATCAGGGGATTGTATAAAGAATGCTGGTGCCAGTAACTCTTACAGTGGTTTGTACAGACAAATAAATAAATATTACCAGGTGTATTTTAAGTCTGTACCATGGGAGGCAGAACATAATTTAAAAACACTGTTTTAACCCATCACCTTAGTGAGCAGGCAACACTTAACTTCACCACTGCCCTGCTATGTTGGTATCGCTTAAAAGTGTTCACCACTGCCCTGCTATGTTGGTATCGTGTTGGCATATTGGATATCGGCAAAAAGTCAATATCGGACATCCCTCATTCAAAGGCATGAAAAGAGTGAATGAAAAGAGCTGAGAGACTAGGATTCCCTCTGTACGTGTACTCACCCTCTCTTCTCCTGCCAAAAAAAGAAACCTACATAGATAAGTAGGGCAGGCCACTTTCTTCCCTGACTGACAGTAAAAGGCCACAAGTTGGATTGAAGCCCAAAATGTTTCCAAAGACTAGGCTTTTAGTTCAGAGCACTCCAAAAGGAATAATTGGTTGGTTTCTCACACATCATGTAGAGGTAGTAGGGCTACAATTATACAGAGTAAAAATATTTTAACTAAGGTTCTTAAAAAGAAGCACCCGCTTATAACCAATGAATTTCTATAGAGTCATTTTAAGTGCTTTATGTCATTTCCAAAGCTAATATCACACAAATCAATTCCTGGTGAAGTCATACAGTATGTTGATTGAATCATGACTTGGTTTTATCCTTTTATTACAAGTAAAATGTATTCTTCTCAACACAGTGATTTTAATGTAGCGCGCTGTCTCTTATAGGACTTTAGGGGCTGCTAAAAAAAAGGGGCCTGAGAGGCCATTTATCAACCAAAACTGGACCCTGTGGTCCAATGCTAACACCTGAAGTTTACGTCCAAAATGTCTTTCCTACTTCAGACTCCTCCCTGTAGATGAGACACTAAAGGAGGCTATCATGTTTCTTGGAACTTATCTTTGGGTTTGGTCAACTAGCCCCATGTTTTGGGCGTCTTCTTGGCTCTGACTTCTAAGGGACCTTGGACCTTGGTTTTGCCTTTGTCATATCACTCAAGTCTTGGAGCAATCATAAACCAGTGAAGTTATTATATCAATCAACTAAGGAGTGTTACTGATGTACCAAATGCCTAATATTGCTGTGTATGGAGAACCGACTTGTGTGTACTTTTGTTGCTAATCAGTTCAGATCCATTGCTAATCAACACAGCAGTATTTTGATTCAGTTCTCTACTTGGGCTGTCTGACTTGAACCTACTGCTTGGTTCCACATCCTGATCCTGAAGCCCTTGTAGGAAATCTACTGTGAATCAATGAAGCTACAACCACCGGGCTTCCCTCCGGGTCACCTCGTCCATTCACTCTTAAATGGCTGATGACTCATGGTGCTGCAGCAATATGTCACTATGGATGAAGGCACTGAGCTCAACTACAGTGATGCAGATGGAAAGGAATGGTGTGTGTGTGTGTGTGTGTGAATGAGAAACAGAGAGAAAGAGAGAGAGACAGGAGGGCAAAAAGTCAGTCCTCAAGTTGCTGACAAAGTCCCTTTTGGCTTGGCTTGCCTTTGGTGATATAGCAGAATTAATTGTTTTGTGTGTGTGTGAGCGTGCTTATGCTAAAGCCGAGATTATACTTTCTACTATGTGCGTCCGCAGAGAGTTGCAATTTGTGTCACCATTAACCAAATGTGGCACATTGTTTCTGTGCCGGTTTCTATTCCACTTTCCATACACCTAGTAAAGTGCCGCTAAGTGTGTTGGCGTTATGGTGATGCATACAATATATGAAAAATCTGCTTACTTGCCTCCAGGAAAACATTTTAGCTCATGCAGTTTGTCCAGTATTGGTCGTATTTGTGTAAACTCCTGAATCTGCATTATGTTGCAGTTTAAAAACAAAACAAAAAAAGTTGAATTGCTGTAATGTTAAAGTTTGTTTGCTAACCTGCCTAATGGCCACACTTTATTAACACACTTAAACACCTTCTGTTGAAGCCATTGCTGGGATTGTTTGAGGCCTTGTTATCAAAGTATGAACCCTTAAACACACATGTTGCATGTTGAAACCATAAATAAGGGCTCTTTGAGTATTGAGTCCAACCTACAGCCAGAGCTGGGGTAGAATGATGCCATCTGAAGTGGATTAAAACAAGGCTGCTACTGAGCTGGAAATTCTGTGTTGCTGCAAAAAAGGTGCGTGTCTAAAGACAGCGATGTGGGGTTTCACATGTTCCTATTACACTCCAGCAGCTGTATGTGCAAGAAACAGAGGAGGCAAAAGTCACAATAGCAAAGCAGATGGAAGCCAACCCAGTTCCAGTTTTTGCTGCACTCCTCTGCCTCTCTTCCTTGCTCCCTCCTTCATCCCTTTTCCCTTCCCTGCTGTTTTTTTCTTTATCCATAGAGATGGTTTTATACTCTAAGTGCACTTTATCTGATGAGCCAGTGGGGAGAGGTGACTGCAGCTCACGCAGCGACAGTATGAATCAACAAATCAATGGCTCGCATGCAGTCAATCAGTCAGTGAAACATATCGTGGACTGTTCTGACATTTGCTGCATAAGCTTTGGCAAAGCAGAGGGAAATAGAAACATGATCTAATTAGACAAATAGTTAATTTTCCCTATTTGCCAATCAATAACAGACAGTCATAAAGCTGTTAGCAAACAAGCTAACCAATCATCATAGGCCCACAGATATGGCATATGTTCCAGAGTTCTAGATTTGCCGAAGTGCACGTCTTTTCCAATGTTGCTGATTGTTAATGCCTCTCTGAGAAGTACCACAGTTTAGTTCTGATGCTTCTTGTAGATGTGCTAATGCTTGATTTTATTCATTTTGGTAGCACAGGAATTAGAAAATGTTAAAAAAGTTAATTTGGCCTGATTGGACATTCATTCCGACGCGTGAACACTATTTTCAGTGAAAACTAGACATTCCTGCACAACAAGGCAGCAGTCAAAAGACATTTTTGAGTTCAGCTGTGTCAGGTTTCCTTCGTTATTCAATTCCCAACATTTATTCATTTTTTGTGTTTGTGAAAACCTCCACCAAGGATCCTAGTAGCAGTTACATCAGCAGCAAGAAAAGAACAGAGACTGAAGCAGCTATCCTCTCACATCCAGTAAACCTGCTACATGACCACGCAGATGGAAGGAAAAAAAAAAGTAGATGATACTGGGTTAGCAGCCGCCTCCTGTTTGCTGATACATATCCTTGAGGCATTTATTGTGTTTAAGTTTTGTACATGAGGGAATTTGAGAGTGTTGCAAAGCAGGAGGGGAAAGGAAGAAAAAGAAAAAGACATAGACAGTCAAGGCTCATTGTCATGCTTAATCTCCAGGTCAATGACACCATCACCATGCCAACCCCTGCCATTGCCATGGTAACCAGCTTTATTGCATCGACAGGTTAGAGAAGAAACCCCCCTACTGAACCAGGTGTGGTGCATCTGTGGAAAACTGTGGCCTTTAAAAGCAGTGGTTGACTCTGGTAAAGACAGACACAAAAAGCTGGTTGTATAATCACCAGGTCTGCTTGACTCTTACAACGCTGAACTTAGTTTTTATCAACTTTGTCATTTGTATAGCTTTCCTACAACGGATGCAGCTTTTACAGAGAGCTTGATGAAGGTTTGGATTGTAGAGGAGGAGAGGGACTTCACAGCCTCTGAATGATTCATGAACGGTGAATGAGGACGACATTAAGAAGGTTCCTGTCAGCAAAAAACCTTCACCTACACCAACAAGACCCAGACGTGTTTCTTCTGTAGTCATTCTAAAAAGAACTTCTTCCTCTCTCATCCCATCTCGCCTCGACCTCCAACTTCATCCTCCTGCTTTCTTGTGTTTCATCACCTTCCTCCTCTGATCCATGCATTCTGTGACACTGCATATACAGCGAGAGAAGCTTTTCTTTGATCTGTGTATGTGGTTTTGCTTGGCTGACTCCTGCAGCTGTTTGTTTAAGGTGTAAGATTATAAAGATGAAAGAGAAAAGTATAAAAATAAATAAATGTCAACTTAATTATAATATTTTTTAGACGATAATTCTATGAAATGGTTTGAATTAACTCCCACAGGTCAAATGAGAGTAACGGTAAGGCGAAGCACAGGAGACCTTCTAATGAGGAAACACGGGTCACACCTTCGCAGAATCACTCTTGTGGGACTTGCCTTTTCCCTGTATCATCCCCAGTTCTCCGCAGACCCATGTTTCCTATTAGATATTTTGGTAGGTTTCTATGAGACCTGCAAATCCAGCTATTCTAATGCTATTTGCTAGCAATGCTTGATAGACCAGTGGGTTCCACTATTAGTCTGAGCATCCTACGAGTTAAATGAAGGTTTAATATTGAGTGTACTAAGTAAGTTCGTACTCAGTCAGTTAGAACATTTGTCTCAGGAGTTGTTTTGGTGCCAGTCCATTGTTACCATTCCAACCAGAGGGAAACGGCCAGGTGCTACATCTTTTATATATTTTCCAGCTCCTTACGTAAGTACTGTATCTAGGTCTAGCCACGTCCAAAAGGAGACAAAAGCAGGGATGGCCCAGCCAACCCAGAAATGTCATGAATGTGGATCAGAGCTCCTGATCAAACCAGCCACTGTGGCTCCCACATAATTAACGATGCCAGATCCTGTTCTCCAGGTCTGCACGGCAGTGACAAGGATGCAGTCTGCAGTGAGAGCAGCAGTTGGCTCTGATGTGTCTGAATCGGCTTCTCAGCAATAAATCCCACATGCCCCACTGACACAGGACAGGTAGAATGTATTATTAAATATTTAACCATCCAGATCAGGCCCGTAGAAGTGTACTGCATAGATGCCTGCCGTGTGTCTTAGAAGTGTGCTGGGCTGTCAGGTGAACTACACCACAACTAATTCCTGATCATGACATGAGAGAGAAAAAGCCTCAGGTCTTAAAAGCTGTGTGAGAGAATAGAAGGTGATAGAGAGAAAGAAAAGAACAAGGAGCTAAGCTTGTGTGTATGTGCGTGTATGTGTGTGTGTTTCTATCCCTGAGTGTCGGGTCTGACATTGTTTGGGATTCAGGTAGGGTTAAGAAGGTATAGTTCCCTTTCAACCTTAGATCCGATGGATTCTGTTCAGCCTGATTGATCTCTTACTTCATAGACAACGCATTAATGGTCCTTTAAAGGCAGGAACCATGACTCTCACTGGGCTGAATCAAACCACAAAGACTCCTACACCAAGTCCAAAGTCGTACCTCGAGGCTGATCATGGCCTTTGGTTTAAACATTGTTTTTTTTTTTTTTTTTGTGGCCTGTGGCTTCTGTCAGTGCACCTGCTCATCACAATTTCAGGAAATGTCAGACTAAAAAAAAAGAACAAAAATCACATATAAAATAACAAAAAACAACTTAGATCTTTCAAGGAAAATTTGCAACATTTTGATTAATATCCTAGGCAACTTGTAGCTATTGTGGTATACATTTATGTCGTACGTTTAAATATTTCCGTACTGGATGTTGTAGTTTTTGTAATTTTTTAATTTTAAATTTTGTGAAAGAAATATGTGTGAAGATGGGATTGGTCTTTTAAGCCTCTATATTCTCATACACGTGGGCAGCTCCAGTCACAGCACAAGTTCTTTGACTCAAACACCCCCCGCCCGTTAATGGTTGGTCTATTGTATGTTGCTAATCCACACGACAGAGACACTGCCTCCTTTAGTTTTCACCTGATGAGTTTAAATCACCACACTTCCTGTTTCAGACCACACCTCTCCTCTGAAGGTGGCAGTAAGCCACAACCAACGACAACACCCCAAACAGCAGGAGAACAGGTGAACTAATTACCAGCCAGGTGTGTAGAAACTGGAACAGCTCTTACTACCATGGTTAACTCTTTATTTTGATTTGTTAAATGCAGGACACTCTGTCACTCTGGATCTTGGATATTACTGCCTACGACACTTAAGGTAAGACACAACATTTTTATTTGGGGATTAATGTTTTTAATGTTTTCAATCTCAGTAGATCAGTACTTTTTGCTGCTCTGAAATCTGTCTGCGTTTGGTGATGTCACATTTCCGCTATACTGCTGCCACATTGATCACCTTGAGTTTGAAGCACATCTACTCTTTTTATTTCTACATGGAATGGGTTTAATTAGTACCACCATGTTCTAATTCCACGACTGTGCTCAAAACTATAACGGGCCAAACCCACTGTCTGTTGGAAGAGGCAGTGTTTTATAAACTAATTCCACGACTGTGCTCAAAACTATAACGGGCCAAACCCACTGTCTGTTGGAAGAGGCAGTGTTTTAGCTGGATGTTATGTAGTATAACAGGTCGTCATTTTATTTCCAGCTGTAAGGAGGAAATAACTGTCTGCTTTTCACATATGAAAGCTAAAGAAAAGTCACTCCTGAAACAAGACGCTCTTGAAGGATATTCTGCTTCCTTGAAATCAAAGGCTCCAAAATTACCCATAATGCATTAGTGAAGTGTCTTCAACAATCACACTAGTCTATAACTCCGAGCAGATATACTTGTGTAACTTATTCATAGACCTTAGTATTAGCTTCCCGTCTATTTTTAATACTTAAAAACCTGCGTGGCTAAAAGGCATTCACTCAAATTTTCGAGATGGATTTAATTTGAGGTTAGAAACATCACATTCTCTTAATATTTAATCTGAGCGAACAGATTGATTTAATACAGTCAATCTTTTCTCTTTTGTCTGTAGGGCCGTTTGAAAACATATTCCAGTAATATTTCAGCCACACATAAGTACTGGTAAGCTAGCATACCAACCGGACCGTAACTATACATTTGATGTTCCAGTTTTACTGTAAAGTAGATGAACATCTAATACACAGGTTTCAAAGCTGCATTTGAGATTTTAAAGTTTACCCCAGTAGTATAGCAGAGAGTACAGAGAATGTGTAGTAAAAAGCATGTTAAGCTGAGGGCTTTAACATTATTTAGGCTTGTTTCTTGGGAAATTCTTGAAAAGATCTTTGACCTGTAGCAAGAGCCTCTCATACTCACATTTCCAAATGCAACAAAACAAGGATGAAAATATGTGTTTCTACTTCTATTAGCTCATTTTACAATCCTATTGGAGCCTAAAAAGCATGGAGACATGCCACTTTTATAGATATGGAGGAACCAAAGTGCAATGGTCTAAGCTGATTTTCTGCTTATGCAGAGCTCAGATACTGTACGTCAACTTAGACGACACCAAAGTGGTGCAGTGCAGAAGACTCACAACAAAACAGGGTCCCGCTGAGGTCTTCAGACAATCCTCCAGGAGCTTCATCCTCAGTCTCTGCAGCTCCGGACTGTCCCATTCCTCTGGATCCATACCCCAGTAAAGGTCCACCACCTGAGAACACAAACACATTTCCCCTTTAGAGTTTCTATTTAAAAAGCATACATACTCTCAGGGACACATCAACCAGCAGGTTATATTTTATTAAAAGCCCCTCAACCTGCATCAGTGACCTGTAGGGGGCACACTCACACGTCCACTGTGTGACTGTGCAAACAAAATGCAACAGGGGAGACCTCTACACATTCATCACCACTTTGGCAGCTCAGACAGTTTCAACTGTAAACAAGCCACAGGGGGAAAACCTCCCTCCTCAGCACAGAAAGGTGTAGAAATGCCTGGAAAATATGTGTGTGTCGCCCATGTCACACAGTTCAAATCACTCTGAAAAAATGCCCCCTACCTGCGGCTACCTGGGTGTGTTGTTGTTGTTGTGGTCTTTTCACCATCTGGCGGTGTTTGACATAAGCATAAACATGATACGCGATGGCTTTTGCTGCTTCGGGGCCAAGATTTCAGCCCCTGATATTCAAACTGTGACATGATTTTTAGCTCTTGTGGAGGTTAATGCCAGTTTGTCGTTCTAAGATCGGTGCATGATGAGGAGAAAGTAGGTTTTTGCAGAGAATGGAGGTGAAATCACAGCGGTCTCCATAATTGGCAGCTTTCCAGAGTAACGGCCGCCTCAATTGAGTTTAGCCAGGAGAGATGACTGACACGTCCACCGAGTGCCAGAGAACCACAGTGGCTGGCACTTAAATTGAGAGCATGGCGCTTTACTTTGACACTCTGGGGAAATAGTATTTGGTGGAAAAGCAGCAGGAGGTTTTGGGCCCCACGCCTTGGCTCATCTGCCTGATTGTGTTGCACACCTGCGAGCAGCTGCGTTTCTGTGGAAGGGAAACCGCTGTCAGGGCGCCACATGATTCTCGCACATAGCTAGAAATATTTTCACTCCAACAATCCTTCCAGCTGCTGGCAGCCTGATGGTCTGAGAGAGCTGAGGTCAAACTTTGATCTTTTTATCCAATCCGATATTATAATTTTCTCAGATAACATTTACATACAGAGCCTCAAATGTGTGTCCTCTCTCTGCTGTCAGGCTACATGCTAATACAGGGTCTGACTGAACGTCAAAAACCAATGAAAATTTGACCAAAAATTTAAAAAGTCAAAGAAATGAAAGTGAAATCACACGGTTTACAAAAAAATATACCAACAATGCTAACTGACCTATCTGTAGGGGTATGTAGTAACCTGAAAAATATAACAAAAGTAGTAAAAATAGGTCAATGTTAACTAGCAGAGATTAAATCTGCAAACCGATCAAGACATTGAAAAATTAAAAAAAAGTATAACTAGAAAATGTTTTGCATATATATATACATTTTAAAACAAGTGTTTGTCTAAATGTCACAAATATACCAAAACAGCTAAACAATAGCTTAAGTATGTTAAATGTGCCAGAAGACAGTTTAAGGTACTTCAATGAAGCACCAAAAGAACATGAACAGATAGCCCACAAACCTAATATAACCTATAACTTAGTCATTATCCATCAAAAAGCCTTATGTTTCTGGGACAAATGTGTCAATATGCTCCTGAAGTTAGCCATGAATGAAGCAAACGGTTAAACATTAACCAGAATATACAAAAAATACAAAAAGATAACTTATAAAACACAAATATCTTGGCACAAATAATTTGCCAACAGGGGGACAAACAATTTCTCAAAAGTGGCTAAAAGCTAGCCAAAATGCTGCAAATTAGAGTCATAAAAACACTGGAAATAGTCTCTAAGATGGTTCCAATTTTTAATAAAATCATTAAGTTTTCCTGGTAATGTTTCTGCAGCAGGTTTCCTCATTAGAAAACAGAGCAGAGCACAAATTAGCCTGATTAAATGAGCTAGACTGTCACAGTTGTTGTAGCTGCACTGCAGCTGTTGTCAGACTCTGAAGGCTTTTACTTTGGAGAACATCTCTCCCACTCACTCATGACAAACATGTTTTACTGTTGCAGTGAAAGCCATTGTGGGGAACATCAGTCACTGAGTATCAGTGACACTAATCTACCTGCAGCCATGGTGTGTGGGGCGGAGGGACTGCAATCAGCATGATGCTCACACCCAATGATAAGAGTGCCCCCTGTGGGTCATGACAAGGTTTCTGCAGGTGACTAGGAGGATGCTTGGTAATTAAAAGATAAATAGAGACATTAGTCATATCCGTGAGGACGGACTGATTAAATTTCCCTCTGTCTCCTGCTGTGCTTTCAGAAGGCTTCAGTGGAGTTACAGGCACAGAAGAGAAGGTAAAAGAGAAAGTTGTTTTTTTAAGGAGTGGGATTAGTAAATGAGGTACATTAAAAGGAAAGACCCACATGAGACTGGATCAGGCCGGAGAGCCTTCACACAGCTGGATCCAGTCTTTGGAACCATTTTCTTAATGCCCACTTTTCTCTTCTTCTTTTTTGTGCCTTAAATTACAGAAGTGAAACTTCTGTTGTATGCACGTGAGCTGAAGGAGATTTTGATGCTGTTTCATCGCCACCTATCCACCAAGCTGTATATCTCACTATATTGCTACATGGCTGAGAACATACGGAACCCAAATAGAAAAAAAAGTTATCCAAAAAGATGGAGTTTCCCGTGGATAATTGAAGATTAGCCAAATCAAGCCCAAAGCTTTCTCTATTTTTTAATAATAGTAAAGGTAAATATCCAACTTCAGATTTTTTTTTTTTACCTACCCACTTGCATTTATTAAATACTTTTGACATTTCAGTGACCAAATTCCTTTAGGCACTAGGTCCTTCTTGTATTTTGTACAGCCCTTTTCTCCCTAAACACACTGTTTATGTGGAGCAGCTGCGGCGGGTCCATTCATTTCTCTAATCAGAGAAACACCGGCTGTAGTCTGTCATCACAGACAAACTAGTGGGTTGGTCTGCAGACCCCAGGCTTCAGATCCTAAAGATCCTAAAGACCGGGGACAGAAGATGAAGCTGTGAAAAAGAGGAGTACTTATTTATGTCTCTGACAAATTCCAGTTGACGGCAAAATTATTCTCAGCAACGCGACGATAATCATGTTAATTAAACGTCTTTCTCTCTCATGTTGTCTAATCCTAGAGCTGGTGGCTGACGGAGGTTTTGAATGATGTCTGAGTGGCAGTTGCTAATTGAGTTTGCAGTTGTTGTGTGGCTAAAAAAGTTTACTTGTATCAAGTGTGCCTATTTTGTATGGCAACCATGGCAACACGGAGCATTTCAGTGTATATGTTTTGTGTGTGTGTGTATATATATAGATATAGCAAACATTTATTTAGTTTTTATATATAAAATCATCTCAAGATATATATATTTTTTAATATGAGTTATTTTAGTCAATTATTGAGTCCAAAAGCTGTGTGTGTGTGCCTCTACAAATGAGAACTATGGGAGCAAACACAGCTTCCCTCCCCTCCACTGCCTCTACTACTGTACAGTGACTGAATGAGGTCACTAACACTGTGAGTCTCTTAGCTGAATCCCTGCCAACCATCCACCTTAGCACAGTTCAAGCACCTCTAACCAAGTCAAATTTAAGCACTTTTCAAACCTTTTCAAGACATATTTCTAAACTGGGAATGTTAGTGTAGACAGTTCTTTGCACATTTTTAAACTATTTTTTGGAAAGCTTACTATTCTGCTCCCCCTTTAGCTTTTCCTTGGCATATCGGTTAAGACAGCTTAGCTATATTTTATTGCTGAGTTAGTCTCATCTAGGCTATTTTCTTTACACTGTTTGTTATGTGAATGTTGGAGTATTTACCCAACACTACTGCCTTTTATTACAGTGCAATGACAAAATGAGGACACTGATGCTGTCATTAGCTTCTCAGCTGGAATTCTGCCTTCTCCTCTAACTCCTCCCTCTGTCCTTCTATCGCCTCTATATCTCTCACTCCTGCTATCTTTCTCTCTCCTCTTCTTCCATGGGGAGGCAGTGGGTTTCGTCAGCTTGGCATATGTGTGTCAGAGCAAGTCAACAGACACCAGTGTGAAGAAAATATGAATGCAGCTCGAGAGAGAATTTAGTTGTGTGTCGCGGTTTCACAGCCAAAAGTCACAAGTACAAAACACTACCAGGCTCCAGCAAGCAAACTGCTTTTAGCCAAGGTGCCAAAGCTTGCATGGCGTGGGTGAGGAGGGTGAGGGAGGAGGAGTAAATGAGTCATCGTTTAAAAACTCCAAGGCTTCTTGCGTCATAATTTCAGCTCACGCCTTGTCACAGTCACTTGAATCACCAGACAGAGAGACACGTGGACAAATGCTCCACAGCCAAACCATTTTAATGCTGCATTTTGTGGATCCTGATTTGAAGGAGCAGCCAACATTGATGCCAACATCTCTGTGTTTGTGCAGGTTTGTCCAAATGAAGGGTCATAGTCCAGCTGTTGCAATAGGTTTAAAGTAATGTGGCCTGCACAATGTCTCAAATTCTTTGTCCTTTTTTCCTGTTGTAAACCATTTTTGCCATCAGTCAAGTTAAAGAACAACTTTGTCTTACTTTGACTATTTAGCTATTTTTATCTTCATTCCAGCTAGCTTACTGGCTAAATCGTTTGAATGTATTTTCGTATGAATGACGTCTGGACACATTTTCAGCAAGTTGAAGCATATTTACATAATGTTTTGACTTGCAGCTGGTTTTCATCAGTTTTGACTTGTGGCTGTTTCTGTCATATCTTTGAGGCATTTTTGAAAGTTTTTATTTTCATTTGCTAACCCTAAGCTAATGTCAGGGTAATGTCTTACCTGCACCCGTTCTTACAGTTACAGGCTTATTTTATTATTATGTAAAGTTTTTCTGTGTGGAAAGTTGTGCGTACTTGCACTATTTTAACTCTGTAATTTGTTATTTACAAAACTCAGTGTACTGTATTTGCATATATTTGATCTTTAAAAGGCCGTAATGTTAATAAATAATTATCAGCAATTCACTTATCCGCTCTAGTCTAGTCTTAATTAACAGAGAATTCTCCAATAAGCTTCCCTGAAATATTAGCCTAAAGGTTTGTGGCTTTTAATTGGATATGAATGATGATTTTCAATGATTTTTTGTTTGAATTCACATTTGATGCTTTTAGCAAATGAGAAGCGCGTTCTGAAATTCTAAACATGACATGTGCAGGGATGTGCTATAAAATTGTCCATCGCTTTGATGAATACTCAGGCAGCTACATGCCTGAAGCGTCTTATGAAGAACCAACTGTTTATTAGCCGCAATTTAAGAAAAATATTAAGTTCAAACACACACTTCAGATTCAGATTTCCTATGGATTTTTTTTCAAACAGGGGACACAATAAGAGAGAAGGCAGAAATGTGACCCCAGTATATAGCTCTGGGGAACTCCTACAGGCAAAGATAACGTGCTTTCTTTGGAGTTAAAACGTGTTGGGAGTAGAAAGGTTGGAGAAGTCAAATGGAAATAAACAGTTACCTGGAACTCAATCCCATAGTTCTCCCTGCAGAAGTCTCGTAGTTTGGGGTACACATGCTCCTTTAGTGCGTTCCTCTCTGCTTCTGTATCTGGAAAACAAAGAGTTGGAATATAAAGAGTTAAAAATCATTGGAGGAGTCTGACTTGTGTTTAAAACAGTTTTAGTGAGAATCATAAACAGAAAAATAAGCTAACACAGACCACAGATAATTAAGAGGCTTATGCCTTGCATACAGAAGATTAGATTGGAGACCTTTCCAGAATTGTATGCACTTGATGACCAAATCTTTTAATCTAGTGGAGGTTTCTACCTGGAGGATGTAAACCAAAACAACCCAAGGCATCATTGTCCTGTTATTGAGGTATAGTTACCCCGAAATGCTATAAAAATATAGCAAAAACCCAGAAAAAAGTTTAGAATTTTTTTTTTAAAAAAACAAAATTTACACAATGAATCAAAAGTTATTGTAATTAGTTTAGAATTACTTTTAAATTAACATAACCTCATCGTCAAGTTATGTCAAAAATGGCTTAATGTTTGCCTGAATAAAAGCCAACAATGAGCTAAAAATAAGCACAAACAGTACAGATAGTCAAACAATGCAGTGCTGTGCAGGATTGGCCAAAAGTTAGTGAAGAAAGTTTAAACTGTTTGGAAAAATAATGAGCCCAAAAAGCCAAAGGTTAACCAGACATTTACTACATCATTCTAATATTTAACACAGTAATGACATGAAGATGTACCATGAATATCTTTCATAGCGATCATTTCTTATATACAGCCTGAGGAGAATAACCTGCGCTTGTCCTTTCATCTGTAGTAAGGCTACAAACATACACTTATTCAGCCTCAGTGACCTGAGCTAAATGTCAAGTCAAAGCCCAACTGATGTTATAGGATGTAAATGAAGTAAACGGCAGCTGCTGCTTGAGTGGACCTTTGATGTCACTGCATAGGATAATATGCAGCTCCATGCACAGTGTCCCCCACAGATTACATCTTATTTGCAGGAAATAAATTCATGCCATATTATTTGTGACCTGTTAGATTTCTGCTGATAACAGCAGGACAACTCGCTCCCCTGCTTTATTTTAAATGGAGATGAGTTATGGCAGGCTGACGTATCAGTGTGTGTTTCGAACCCACCCACATGCAAACGAACAAAGACTGAATCCTACATTGTGTGTCCATGTGTGTGTCTCTCTCTGTGTGTGTCCTTCCCTTGCATTCTCCGTCTGTTCCTTTCAATAGTGCAAAACCCTCTACGTGTTCCATACGGATATGTCCTGTCAGCTCCTTTTTCACCCTTTTCTCACTTCGTTTTCTTTTTGCCTTTAGGGAACTCATGAGCAGTGGGTTGAGAAAAGAAAAAAAAAAGAGAGATAAAGCCAACTGTTCCTGGCAGTCAGACCCAAAGTTTTAAATAAATATGAATGTATGAATGTAAAATTTTACAATTTACAAACTTCACACTTGCAAATGTCATTTTTTACTTGAATTGTAAAACAAGGTTCAAATAAATACTGTCCATATTTGCAACAATAATATAGCAAACAAAACTGACCAGCTGCCCACTGTTTTGCCAATCCTTCTCTAAAACTGTTTGAACACGTTAAGCCAAAACTGATTGTCCAGGTTGTCCCAAAATGTTCAGACAAATATTTGATGATGATGTAATGAGACGTTAGCAATGGATTTTTGTGTCCATAGTTACGAAGGGTCAGAAGGGATTGAAAACAGGGCTGTGTGGTGTAAAGACGGAGCTTCTTTCAGCTGTTGTTGTATATTTGAACTCTGAGCTCTTTCATTGTGCAAAAGTCCTTTGACATGATGCAAACTACAACTTGATTCAGTTTAGACTGGAATCCATTGTCATGCGATTTTTTGCTGTAGCTTCCAAGCATTTGTCCTTGTCCTTAAAAGTGCTTTAAATATGACTACACAAACTCCTAGAGTTTCATCAGCCTTCTACTGATGAAATCTAATGAAAAGCCTCTTTTCATAAAATTAAATTCTGACACTTTTCACCCAGTTGTGATGCAATATTTTCCGATATAACAATGCTACTCAAATCTACTCGGCGTATGTGGCTGAAAATTGAGGGAAAGTTGATTTTACTATATCTGATGGCTAAAGGCTGAGGCAACAAGTTTCTGCTACAGTAGAAAGTCACGCAACTAAGAAATCCAACCTTTCAGCAGTAATCTTTGATAAAATGTGGATTTTCAACTCCTGGATTTATTTAGGCTACAAGGGTCGAAATTTAAAAAGGTTAAGTTTCAACATGTGCATCCCACATGGTGTACAACTGTTGGCTAGGCTGTAAACATGTGTGCCTATTTTGGGTGGCAAATCCACTCAGTGTGACTTAAAAATGTCTATCATTAAAATCACAGCTACAGTGTAAGAAGTCAGCAAAGTCAAAGTCTGCTCATCTGGCCTTCAGCGCCCACTCTCCATGTCTCCAACACAGCAGTCAATCTGTCCTCACCAAGAACTGCAGCAAGCTGCACTCCAGAGACAGTCTGATCAACTGCTATGAAAGCACTGATTTAAAAAGGAGACATTAGAAAAGAGGGGGAAAACATCGAGGTGTTTTAGGGGTTGATCGCTGGAAGTCCTATGAAAACACTATGTTTTAATAGGAAACATCGAGGTGTTTTAGGGGTTGATCCTTAAAACATAGTAATTAAAAGAGATTGGTTGAATACATGGTCTAAATGTTAATCTTTTCAATCCATAAATAAATGTTCGACAACACTCACTCCCCAATTTGTGGTGAGGGGTTCTCCCATGGTGCTTCACCCATTTCTTCTGCACAGTCTAGTGAGCAAGCAAATCAATAGCGAGTGACCCGGAAGATGCTAAAGGCAGATTGGGACTGAGTGTGAACCGGCCATCCATAAAAGGCCAGATGCTGCTTCACTTCTTGAGCTCATACACTTTAACTGAGTACGTCTGGATCAGAACGAGGAACATTGACTGGATGTTGTTGTGCTGCCATCACACAACTTATTTAGACTAGAAGGAGCAGTTTCTCCTGCTGAGAAGGACTCTCAGACAGATGATAGACCTGACCTTGTTCATTTGGCATCGTTTTTGATCTCATAACATCGTCTGTTATTCTCAGGTTTGGCTGACAGATTTCCTAATATTGATTCAGCATCACATCATTTTCACTTTTATGGTCACACTCGTGATTTTACGTCATCATTTCTACCTTATTTGTTGGACTTAAGACATCACAATATGTCATCATTTCAACCTTTTAATGATTTCTTTAACAGCTTTATCTCAAAGGTAACATTTTCAACCCATAACTGGTTCTTCCTCTCATGCATAGTGGTGATATTTTATCTCAGCGCTTTGAAGTTTACATCATGATTAGTTTTATGAACTTTATGAACTAGTTTTATTTTAACAGGCAAAAATGTTTATTTATGGAGTTGTTTCTTTCTCTAAAATAAAAGCAGGAAACAAATATGACTATGAAACTATTTATCTCAATAATGTAGAAATAAATGTCTCTATTTGTTACAAACAGCTTTTAAGACAGGCAGGTTACTGATGCTGGTTAGGACTGTATATTAATCTTGTTTCACTTGAGTGTTTCAATAAACAGGCTTTAGCATACAGCAGTCTGCCATGACAGGCGGCACGACTCGTCAGTCTGACCTCCTGAGATTAGTTTGTGCTACTGTATAAAACTCAGAGAGGTGACTTGAGTCTCTGGTGCAATTTTAGAGCTGGAATTCAAGCCAAATTTGTCTTCGAGTGGGATACAGAGCAGAGAAAAACTGTAGGTTGTGATATAAGCAGACTCAGTGGTGACATTCTACAGCCTTGGCGATGGTGCATTGGAGGGTGGGATAATTTTCTGCACGACAATTTTCTGGCCTGGTGCGTTTATCAACTCTAAACAGCTTGAGTGACGGCTTGCATACAAATAACTGCCTATAACAAACAGCCCCACAGCCAAGCACCTGAGGTGACTGTGTAGTACATCCTAATGGATACGTCTGGGTATGCCTATATGGACAGCAACAAACACTCTCTCTCACACACACACACACTCTACATCGATAGATACAGCCGGCTGCATAATACACACAACATACAATAATAAATCATGATAAGCTTGTTTGCTGCTGTCGTCTGGCCACTGGCCAGAAACAGATAGCTTGGCATTTAATTGATTGGCTGTGGAAGCACACACAGACGCACACACACCTACACATAAAACCTGAATCTCTGCAGTTCTGAGGACACCCTGAGACACTATTCCTTTTACTGTAAGCCCAGCCGTCCCAAATAAATACAAATACAGCCTTTACTCTAACCTGATTGGATTATTATGCCAAAACAAAAGGTTTGACCTTTAAATGCAGAATGATTTTTCAAGAGAAAACATTTTTCTTTGATAACGACTAACCATGCAAACAAAGACACAAAGATAAGATTTGGAATGTATTTCCCAGAAAAAGGACAACACTTTGTTTTTAAATGTCGTAAGGTAAACAGTTGTCTACAGCATCATCTTTCATTTTTCCCTTTGTTTTTTTTTTCCTTGCTGTTGCACCAAGAATCTTAACATCCCTCCTTGGTAGATCTATGTAATATTCTCTCCAGAGCCTGGAGTTTAACATATGTGACATATACAAACATGGTGAGGATTGTATCTCGGTGACACATTAGTTCTGGAGAGTTGCGATAATAGGTGGAGTCTCACGGGCTAAGAAGCATAGGTTATTACTAGAGGAGTTGTTGAAAACAAAGAGAACGCACCTGTTGTTCTGATCAAGTAAGACATGCAGAGGGACATCAGGTTTTTGAGTCCATAAAACCCTGAAACAGCAGGTGTGAGTCACCTGATCCTCAGTGATTACACCGTGAGTCGAACCGTAGCTGTTGCATGTTTCGTTGACATCTACAGGCGTAGGTTTTTACTGTCAAGGCTCCAGCTCTGTGGAAGACACTGCGTTTCCTTTTTAAATTACAAGGAAAACAGAGCGTCTGGCCGTTTTGTAGACAAGACAAAGCAGCGTTAGAGCGCAGCGGGGACCGTGTGTCAGAGCCGTCTGTGATTTTGCTGCTGATTAAGGGCAGTGGGGTCTGGTGTGTTGAGCAGAGCCAGTGCTACAGTGACTACAGAGAGATCATTAAAGTCTCCCTCGTGTGGATCATGGCAGTGAGTTCAGTCCCACAATAAAAAATAGCATAATAAAAAAGATGCTCTTATTCTATCACAATGCTGTGTGATTATCATTGCAGATAGTATTACTCACCCTCCCCGTGACTGCCCTCACCCACTGTGGAATTACACTGTTATGTGCAACATAGATTTTATTAACTGTCATCGGGGGAAATTTGTCACTGGAAGAGTGATCCCTGCGTGTGGCCTCAGTGGCTGCTTCACTCTCACACTGCTGCTTTCATTGCACATTCACTGCACATTTTCAAACCAAAGCCTGAAGTCCACACTCCATAAAGCACACATGTGCAATATGTAGTAACTCTGGGATTTAGGGTAAATATTGAGAGTATATCGAGTTATTTATGTAATTTATTATTAAAAGTAACTCTGGGATTTAGGGTAAATATTTTAGAGTTATTTATGTAATTTATTATTAAGCAGACACTTTCTGAACAGCTCCAGATAAACAAGCAGACAGAACAGCCCCATCCAGGAACACAGGAAAAAAGGACCTTGTCTGAAGGCGAAGGGCAGACCTGGGTCACAGACTCATGAATAGATTGCACAAAATGTCTGTAAGGCGAGTTTGCAACATGAAAAGCAAAAGCTGAAAAATACTATTATATGTTCTCTGATTTATTTCCTAAGGATGAGTTTTAATACATGAGTGGAGAAAATTTGGAATCTATTTCTCGAAAAGGTTTTAGGAGGATTTTTAGGAAAACTAGATAATATACTTTAACTATTTCTGTGTTGAATACAGGCCAAGACCCCAGGTTATATTTGAATTAAAATCATCAACATGTCTGAGGCCATTTCTGGTTTAAATTTTGAGCTCATTCACTGTCAAAGTGTAGCTAATTATTTAATATTTTCTATGTTATTGGCTAATTTTCTGTTGTCTATCTAGTTTAAATTTAGTGTCTAAATTTAGCTCTATCAGTCTTAACTTCAAGAGAAAATCCTGGACTACTATGAGCTTTTATTCTATTCAATCTTTGCTTGTCAAGGTAAAGACTAAGAGCAATTATTTTGACTAATTACAGAAATACTAGGTATATATTTAGATTCTAGGTCACCTCAAGCTATTTGAAGTGAGCTTTTTCAAAGCTAACTTTCTTTTAGGCTGGCTTTCACCTATTTTTGAATTAATTTGTTTGTTTGTTGAAAGTATTGTAAATTAGTAGTACTGTCTTGATATGTTTTCAAATATTTGTCCATTTCTCGGCTATTCATTAGCTACATATTTGGCCTCATTATACATTTTTAAATAGTGCTATTTATCTTGACCGCCCTAACCTGTATTTTGTCGTCCGATACTAGATACTGTGTGGTTGCTGAAATGTTGAGTCAGAATTGTTTCATGCTAAACTTACTAGGAGGCGGTGTATTTGTGGATCGCCTAACTGTAGTCTTCAGTCTGCATGTAGGAGCAGTTGGCCCTTGGGTGTATTTCTAATATAAAATCTGGCCTAGTTTGGACACGCCTGATTTACTGGATATCAGCAGTGAATATCAACAGACACAGCGGCTCCAAATTGTCTTCTTTCTCTGGCTGCGTTGTGTACCTTTCTGTTTGTGCTGAAGGAGAAACGGCATCAACTACAACCAACGCTCCTCCCCCTTCATTGTTTTTCCGTTCACGTGTATTTAATCAGCATGTGTGTGAAGGTCAGCTACAGGTGGCTGAACAATGCCAGCCTTCTCCACCTCTGTTGCAGACAATAACATTGCAATAATGTGAGGTCGATTTGTTCTTGTTTTAAGGTGTATAGCGGGTTAGCTTGGTGAGAGTGAGAGAGAAGGACGCTGACGAGTTGATGAAGAACAACATCCTTTTCCGTTCTACCACGTTCTCTCTCATCCCACTTTTCCTCTATCCTCTGCCTTGTTTACTCCAGTTTTACTGCTCCTATTTTTACCCCCGTGCCCAGAGGGCATATTCAAATACCATGCTGCGACTGGGTATCTCCCTTACCACCCAACTGTCTTGCACTCTGCTCACACCGTGCACTCTGTGTCGAATGCAATCTGTTGTTTTTGCCTCCGTACTAGAATAAATCATGCACACATTTGTTGTCACGTTGCCCCTAATGTAACCTTACTTAAGATATCGCCCTCAGAAGTCAGGCCATCAGGTTAAATGAGTCTTAAATGTCACAGCTCACTGGTGGGTGAATAAAGTACACCATCAACTCACAGCCCTGATTCTTCACCTCAAAGTCACTGATGCTGCTGCTGCTGCAGATCACAGGCTTGTACATCGAGGAGCTCCACACGAATTAACCTGATGGATTTTACTTGAAATACTTAAGCTCAAGTGTCGGTCAGTACTTATGAATGAACCAGTGTGTGATTACTTTAAAAGTTGTGGACACGAACTGTATTTTATGATCACCAAGGTGCCAGGGTCTGATCATTAATAATTGCAAAGTCTTAAAGGAAAATGCCAAGTGTCTGATCCTTTGCCTAAGACTTAGGTCTACTACGTGCCTGACAAATGTTTGCCAGGAGAACGGTAAGCCTAAGTCAACAACAGATACGAGTTGCCAACAGCCAATAGCCTATGTTTACCTATAAAAGTAAAGTTAGCTCAACATAACTTTATTTTAGCTCAGAAAGGCCTGGATTTTCCAGAAGAAACTTTAATTACTTGTTTAGATCGGAATAAAAATTAGCAAAATTAAGTACAATTTAGTTTAAGGTCAAAGATTTGGTTAGAAATAGCTAAAATTAACCAAAGTTAGTCGAGGCTGTGCTCAGAGAGACATATATAAATACCTCCAGTAGTTAAGTCAGTTAAACTCCAGTTTGCAAGTGAACAAAAGTTGCTAAAATTCAGAAAGTGTTCAAAAAATGCAAAGCTGTGCAAAATTACTCCAGGCTCTGGAGAGAATATTACATAGATCTACCAAGGAGGGATGTTAAGATTCTTGGTGCAACAGCAAGGAAAAATTACCAGTTAAACTGGACCAAATGATGGCACGTGTGAGCCCAAACTGCTGAAGTCATGGGGAAAATGTACCAAACAAGGTTTCTTCAAAAATAACCTGTTCATCAAGACATATCAAACCTTTTTTGGGGGGTGGGGGCGACTGAGCAGTCGCTTAGAACCATCACTGCAACTGAGACGCACTTAACAGCAAATCCGTCTGCTGACAGTAATATCCAAAAACAAACTGATGAAACTTATTTTTACGACCCCCGACACAGAGGAAAGCTCTTATGAGTCCTTAGTGTCACGCGCAGGCAGGCGGGGTCTCTTACCGTCGGGGTTGGCACAGATGAAGACCCGCACGCTGCGGCCGGTGGGGACGTGGTGAGGCGGTAGGGCGTTGATGTGGCCGCTGACGGCCGCCCTGCGCATGGCCGACTCTCGCGGGCACGGCTGCCTGCTGCCCACACCTGACGGCCACATGGTGGGGGGCGCCTTCCCGCGTGGCTGTAGAGAACACACACACCCAAAAGAAAGACTGGCACATTAGAGTGGCCAGGGGCGCACATTGGACAGGCACATGGAAGGACGCCGGGCAGCTTTTGCGCACAGATTTCTTCGATCCATCAACACTCAAGGAGCTTGATTAATGACACAACTACGGAACTCTAATGAGTATAAACTTTCATTCTCATTTTTTTCTTCATTAGAGGTGTACAAATTTGTAATATAGGCAACATCAGTTTTCTGCCTTAAAATTTGTGCCACTAAAATTTGGAGTACAATTATTCACCATGTTTTTTCCAAGTGAGGATGGATCTTCAAAATCTCTCCAAACACAGGAACAACACTGCTGAGTGCGAGAAATGGGAATCATATATAGAGGGTATTACGCACAGCCTACTACCACCAGGGTGCATACGTAATTTGTGCACATGTCCTTGGATGCATTCATGAATTTCCATGCCACTATGGGACACAGGAGACAGAACAGAACGGACAGACGGAACAAATCTCAGGGAAAACAAAGGGGGGGACGAGCAAAGAGGCAAGCATCGGTCGTGTCCTCCCACCCCAGAGACGATGCTTGTTGGGATTAAACCGCTGCTCTAAAGGACAGTGCAGCTGGATGTCAGGTCGTTGGATGTGTTTCCACCTGAAAGAGTTGTTCTATCCCTTTTCAAAGATGGAAAACCTTTGGGAAAGACAAGAAAAAGCTGTGGGAAAAGTTGAGGGTGTGTGAGCGTCCACCACTACAGAGCACTACATTCAAAGTCCTCCGACATCCACAGTGACTACACCAAAAGGATGCTGGAGACAGAAAAAAAAATAAAATAAAAAAAACAAGACACTTCTTTTGTGTCGCTCACATTCATTCGCTTCATTCCGAAAATATCCAGTCGTCGAGGGAGGTAAAAAGTAGAAGATAAAAACGCCCCATCAGAGATATTGTGGCCGCGTAGCAACGCCGGGAAACGATGAGACGGACGCCGTATGTCGGAGCGCTCTGCTTGGCATCCTGCTGTCTCTGTGAGCCGTTGGAGCTCTGGCTGACCAAAGTAGAGGGAAGCCAGACAAAATAAAAGCACGGCTTCCGCTTATTCGTTTCAAAATAATTGCCTTAGCTCATTTAAATTACTTCATTTTTTATTATAAAACCAAATCGACGTTTTGCAAACATAATTTAGTTACATTAAAGATAGAAACAATTTTAAAACCATATATTTGCATCTTCAAGTTACGTTTATTTAAAGTTTAAAGGTTTACGCCGAAATTAAATAGCAATTTCCGTTTGTACTCTACTCTAATTTGTGGGACTTGACGCAGGTGCCTTGGCGTTATTAAAAGCTGTTCAGAGTGTTGTGTTATGTTGAATGTTTTAAAGCTGAACATAATTACCTTGGCGTTATTAAAAGCTGTTCAGAGAATGTTTTAAAGCTGAACATAATTTAAAAAAATAACCAACCAAAACTCTAAACACAGAAAATGTTACATTGATAAAAAAAGCTTTAGATGAACAAAACGGTTTAAATCTTTGCTCAGAAATGAATGAATGTTGAAAAACAGCTTAGCCAAGTAGACAAATATTTAAATATTAAAAATATTTTAATGATATAAGCTGATCTACAGTATGTTGGCACAAATGGTGAACGTGTATTGATGGTGCTCCAGACCTTAAACAACACAGCACTTTGTCAAATACCAAAATGTTTTATCAGTAGTTAAAATTTAAGACTTGAGATCTGAGTTGTTTTAAATGAACTTGATAGTATTACATTACATTATGACCTCCGTTTTGGAAAACTGCATTCAGGGATTATTCGTTAGATACCTCGATTTGAAGCCATGTCTCTTTAACAAGTAATGCGTTACTGTGTAACGTGAACTGAGTGTCCTTTGAAAGTGGGAGCAGCAGCATCCCAGAGAGAAAAAGAAGGAGGAGGAGAAACGGGGGAGGAGAGGGGAGTGGGGTTTTTTGAATTAATTGCTTTATCGATGAATGTACCTCTGCTCTGCAGCCCGTGGTTATTCGCGCTGGAAGTTTAAGTGCATTGGATTTCTACTAAACGGAATTGATTACAGTGCTGTTCTTGCAAGGGGGGGAAACGCTGAACCACATATTCCTGCTCTCCGTCTCACGCACACACACAGTTCTGTGTTTTAGTGTGTAATACTTGGCATCATCAACCATTTCTCTGGAGCTGATGTGTGTCCTTTGTCCACTTAGAAACCTGTTTCAGTTGGAAGTAAACAATCAGGCCTCAAAGATGGGTAAAATATTTTGCTACAGTTTAGGCATAAAAATAAAGTGGATGTTCTTTCACTACTGATATGTTATCAAAACATACGAATAATAGCATTCATTTAACCTAGTCCTGGGAGACATGCAATTGTTAAAATGTAACACATTATTTATGCAAGAATACAAATAATCAAACGCTGCATGACTTACTGTTGTGCTGCAGGTCTTGATGATGAGTCTAAAGCTCTGCGGGCTCACGTCGACCCATTTATTTACAGGCTGTAGGGCAACCAGCTCACACCACAACAAAACCCAGGCTCTGGAAAGGCTTAAAAAGAAGCACCAGTGACTGTGGTCTTCTTCCCAGCGGTGTGATGACCTTTTTCTTCACCTGATATTTCCGCTCCCTCCCGCTCATAATCCTCAGTCGCTTAATCATGTGTGCATGTGTGTGGAGTTTACAGAACATGTCAGTACAGCTTGTTGGCAGTTTTCTGAAAGGCAAAAATGCTGTGAATATACTTGAAATTCCACATTACATACAATGATTGGTTCATGTCCAATAGCAAAATGAGCTAAAAACTGTAACTTGCTGAAACGGTAACAAGATATTGACAGTGTGAATATTTCGCAGGTGCAGTTTTAAGCTGCACAGGTGACTGAAAAAAAAAAACAAACAGACAAAAACATAGCTTTTTAAGCCCAGTATAGCATAATGTTAAGCTAAAAGTGCATCAGGAAACCTTTAAAAAGTCAATGGAAGTGCTAAAGTTTAGCTTTGAATTAGCTAGTTACTCAAAGAAATGTGCAAAGTATCATTTTAAAAATTAAAATACAATGCAAAAAATAGTAAAAGTTAGCATAAGTGTCTAGAATCTTTCACTAACAGATCTTGAAGTCATTATGTAATCCTTGGCATCTAGACATTTTCCAATTGAGCTCAACATAAATACTGTAAATACTGTAAATACTGTAAATACCTTAGAACTGTTTTCCTCAACAGCAAATGGTTCTATCTAGCCACCGCCATTTAGTTTACTTCTCTCAGTGAATATGGCCTACTGATGGAACCCTAAAGATCAAGTAGTGGGTCATGTCAATTCCCCGCTCCTTACCTGATTGATGATGTCAAATCATCAATCCAGACAGCATGTTGGTATATTTTCTGGTACTCAGACCTGTGAAGTGTGTGACCTTGTTGCTCTGTCCTCTAACATGTCGGACCTCTTTGATCTAATGTGAGTTGTCACACTGATATGATGTGATGTGTCACCTGGGAAACACTGATACAAAGCACACACACACACACACGTACAAATACAGCATCACCCAAAATGGCTGGTGATGGACGGCTAAATGTGCGGAACAGCTGGATAGATGGGCGGAGTGTGAGAAGAAGACGTTTGGAAACGTCTATTTCTATGTGCTTCCCATTGGCACCACTACATTAACTCCTTAACTGATGTAGCCCACTCTTAGCACAGCCCTTCCTGTCAGCTGACTCAGAGATCAAGACCACTCAACTGTATACTCTCTCTTTTGGGGTTTAGGTCATTGATGGGAAAGTCGATCCTGGACAAAGTCCTGCTGATGTGATTCATGCTTTCATTTAGAACCACTGGCTCTATTATACATGGAGCCATCTCTTCTTTTTTAACTCAAACACTGAGAACGGGGTAAAGGGAGACATTTTTAGAATTTTTAGAAAAGAGGCTTTGAAAACTGCAGCTCAAACATTAGGTTTAAGTTCTATTCTTTAAGGGAGAGAAGCATATGATGAAACCCACCCGCTGGGCTCTAAGTTGTTCATTTTTTCTCTCATCTCCAGAGTCATGTTATCTGATGTTTGTACTGTTAACTTTTAGCGAGTTTATTGAGCTTTTTCCAGAATAATCTTGTTAACCATCTGGTAAAGTTTGTGCTATTTATGTATAACCTTTTTTTTTATCCCATTTGTTTATCTAAATATTTAAAAAATTGAACTCAGTTCCATTAATTCCAATCAGGACAACGATTCACCTCAAGCTTGAACTCTTTCACCAGAAATAGAGAGGATTAAGGTGTGACCTCCTGCTCCTGAGCACGATCGATAACCTGATCAACAAAAACCTGCTTCAAATCAGCTGTGTGATTCCCATGATAAAATAAAGCAAAAAAATGTTTTTCACATTTTTTATAACCATTTAGTACATTGTATTCACCCTTAAGGAAGACTGAAAAGCTTTGCTAACTCAGAATAAACACACACAAAACTCTGTGTCTGTATTCTGTGTCTTGACTGTGAGAATTTCTGTTGCCACATTTATCTGATCATTGTCTCTCTCTCATACGCACACACAAACGGTCAACAGCAGAACGAGGCTTCATATTGATCTGTTAGAGGAGGATAAAGACGCTCATTACATCCATACCGTACATGACACCTAAAGACTCCCTCCTCTTTATGAACGTCGGTATTAAACAAGCACACATCTGCACGGCTCAATAATGTATTATGTATAATAGCTTAAACCCCTGTGTTAAAGCTTTGCTTCAAATACCACGACCAGAACATGAACACTAGAAAATAGTCAATAGAAGACTTCAGCATTTTTCAGAACGTCCACCATCATTTATGAAAAGGGACTTTGTATAATGTTCATGGAAAAATCAACAACAACAAGTGACCTTTACCTGCTGAAAATGAGGAAAACAATATTGCATAAAAAGCCAAATGTTGCAGTCAAAAGTGCTAAAGGTCCCTGTGCCAAAGCCAAACCGTTTTCCAGTGACTTGCTTCTCATTGCTGTGACCTTTTGTACAGAGATATTTGTGATTAAATATGAAGCACATCTCTCCTGCACGTTCATACATAATAAATAAAAGTCTGAGTGGGAATGGAAACGGATAGGGTAGCTAAATTTAGACCATTTGTAAAACGTAATGCTGAATCTTTAGCTCAACATTTGGTTAAACTAAGTTCAAATGTTTTCTTGCCAACAGCTACTGTAATTCATGAGAAGAATGGATGATGCAAGGCTAACATTTCCTGCTAACCTTAGTTTTGATTGGCATAATATTAAAGACGCTGCTCTGAGCTGTTTTCTGTAGCTTTCCTACCCGTAGTCTATGATATTCACATATATTTAACACATTTTAGGTAAAACTGTGAGCATTAACGGTTGTGTTACGGACTCTCTGACAGGCTGGTGATCTGTGCTTCTGCCCTGCCTCGCCACGAATGTCAGCTGCTTCTGTGACTCACGAAGGATCACAAAAGTGATGGATGAATATGGGATGTTGATGCCACCTGCTCAGAGTCGGTCAGGACGTGAAGAGTGAGTTTTATTTCTTTTTAAATCTTATTGATACATGTAGCCTTGTTAAGATGTGAAGTCTCACTCTCAAGGGAGATCTGTTTTGGACAGACGGAAAACAAACAAACAACAATTAGCGGCAAGCAAACATGAAAACAATAGTGATGCAGAGAATCCAATTTCACTGGGCACCATAAGAAAAAGACCTGTTTGCCTAATTCTGAAGACACTGCAGAAACACAGTCGGTCCAACTGGACTGACTGTGTTACATGTAGGAGGAGATACACGAGAGCAGCAGCCCAAGAATTGATTTGTAGGAAAAATTATACCAACGTAAAAGTCTATGCCTGGACAATGAAGACCAGCTGACCAGAGGACAGTGCAGTGCGTTGTTTACTGACAGTAATGAATCTTGCAGACACACACACACTCACCCAGTGTTTACAACAGATGTAGTGATCTTGGATTTTTCTTATTTATATCCCTGGAAAAAGCCACAACTGCAGCAGCTGAAGAAAAATAATAATTGTACTCTAGTGGTGTTGAATAATTAATGGGCAAAACTGCAGCAGCAACATTAGCAGCTTTAAGTGTCGTACTAATAAAGATTTAAGACTTTTCAGGCATTACATTAAAGAGAATATTATGTGCAAAAAGACCTCAGTGTGAAGAAATATATATATAAAAAAAACATAATCAAGGACAGGAACAGGAGCATAGAGAACCATGGCAGCATCTTGGCCACAGCCCAGTGTCACATGACCAGATGATGGGTCTAGTCTTAACTGTGTGTTCCAGACCCCTGGGATTAATCTGATGTCAGAGGTGGAAATGTGAGGCTGTGTCTGGCTGTAGTTAGTCATGTCTGCTGCTGTGTGTATTCTATGTCTTCAGGAGAAGAAAAAAACACGCTGTGGAGATTGTTGATGCTTAAATCTTGCAGAAAACAAGTGAGAGGCCATGGGTGTCTGAGTCTGGATTTAATAATTTAGAAATGC